ACTCGGTATAAGTTTGGAAATATGAAGCAGACGGACTTGGCGTGCGTCTTTCCAATTTTAAGGTTGCACAACTTTGTCAAGCTTATCTAGTACCCCCGTCAAATGTTTCTGCTTATGCCGCCAGAGCAAGGTATCCTCATGCGATGAAGTTGTGAGGACGCCGCCAGCGTGATGGCCGAGCTATAAGGCGTTATAAAGAAGTGCATCGAAATTTGCTTACGCCAATTTTGCCTCACTTGCCTCCAGGAGAGAATCGGTCGGATATAGCGAGAATACATGGGGTGCCAAGGCTTATGCCTATTATTAGGTATGATACTTGAATTCCAGTCGCTTTTTAGAGTGACTCTCCACCACGTGTAATATGTAGTAGGAGTCAGACAACAGTGAGGTAGACAAAAACGGAGGCGCAATAGAGAGGTCGTAAATTGAACGACAGGAACAGCGAAGCGAGGTGCGCAGATGATCGAGCAACAAGCCCAGCAAGCAACGAAGGATGACGAGGCACCCTGGGGAAGGGTGACGTAGGGGAAAACTGAAGCCGGATGCGAAGATGAAGGCAGAAGCGGATGACGGGTAAACGACGGTGAGTAGAGCTGGAGCGTAGTCGCAAAAATTTGCTTGTTTCTGGGCGCGTGCGCATGCGCAGGAAGGAGCAATTTGGAAATCTGGTTGGGCTCTAACTCTTTTTAAAATTTGACCAGTTCCACTTCCCTTTTTTGGGCTTTTGAGCATCAACGGCGAAGAGACGAAGACCTCCAAAATCCGGGTACCGGTCTCCTTTTTCCTGTTTAGGAAGTCACCCAAAATTGGGGCCCAGGTAATAGGGGAAGGCCTTCTTTCCGCTGCGTTTGCTACAAAAGGGAGCGCAGCGTGCAAACCACAATGGGAGCAACAACTCAGAGCCCCGAAGTGAGGGGCACGACTTCCGAGAACGTCACCGCTAATCTAGTTCCTGCTATTCTACGTGTGCCTACTCGTCCCCGACCAATTCGCCGAGTGCGAATTCCGGACTTACGAAGCAAACTTGCTAAAAACTTCAGGCCATCGGCTTACTCAGATGCATCTACGGTCAGTCGGGGATGATGAGAGTGGTAACCGGCGCTTGCCACACCATCAGCACCCTGCATCCATCCTGTGTAGACGAATACTTCAAAGATGTTGCCACGTACTACGCGAGCACACACCTTCGAGCAGCGTGAGGAAGCGGTTAGACCGTCTTACCTCCGCGTGCGGTGGTGGTGGTGGTCGGCGCTAAAGCGCAGTACCAACCGTTGCCGGTCGCTTTAAGCAAACCGCGTAACGAACTCTTAAGACAAGAGCTACACTTGCGACACGAAGAAGCTTATCAAGCTTCTCGTGGGCCATGATACATATTTATCAAATTCAAATCTGACTTTTAAGTAATAGAATTTAACTAAATATAATTTAATTACTGATTGGTTAATCATGCAAAGATTGGATACATGTCTCTTTAGAAGCGTATCCTTACGTTACTGGTAATAAACGAATGTGCTTCAAATGAAGGTTTTTGTATGGGAATGCGAGCTTAAAATATATTTAATCTCGCTGATGACGTCCATCTGTGACGTCATCATGACGCCTAGTCCCAACAGGGCGTCATCCCTGTTTAATGTGAATCCATCCATGGATATCACATTCACTAGGGAGGGTCACATTGATGTGACGCACCCAAGTGGGAGGTCTAAGGTACCCTTTTAGACCTGCCCGTAAGTATATGATACTTAACGGACTCGTGTAACCATTGGCCCGTTACATCATGGGATGGATCACCGTTTACACGTGCCCTTAGCGAAGTGCCCCCCCTTCAGTAAGCCGACGTCTCGAGCCAGCAGAATGATCCAGCGAGGAGGAGACCGATGTAGTTTCGGTAGAAGCATACACATCGCATAGTCATAAGCACTAAATCGACATCCAGATTTTTCAACTTTGACCAGTCCCTCCCTACCCTCAGCATAATGAGGAAAATTGAAGACTAAACTATATTGACCTGCACTCACTCCACAGCGCTTCTTCTTAACTCCAACTAATGATAGCAAATCTAACGAATGCCACCTTCACAGCTTCTCATACCGTCGTCAATAATGACACTACCTCGAAACTCTTTTCCCAAGTAACCTTTTGCACCTAGTCTCATCATATATATTTTAACATGGTCGACATCCCTGTACTACAGCGGCGTCCGCGTGGACCATGTCGTACGTGCTTTCATTCCCTATAGTAGATACCCCGCTCTCGTCTCTGCAATCGACTAGCAAGCAAAAGTCCTATCATAAATTTGTGATCTGGTAAAGTTGTTCGAGATAGAAGAATTGTAGGCTTATTCCGCTACAATATATATCTTACAGTGTATCTTCGATGGATTCTGTAGGGGTTTTGAAACTAAAAACGAAATTTTAAGGCGACACAACCACCGGCACACGGAAGCATTGTCACATTTATCTCTCACACAATAGACGAGTACTGCGAGGTGTGCTCAAGCGCAATCTGCGCCGGATGCTGCATCACATGCATCGAAGCGACCTGTAACCCGATATGCGACGCCAGCTCCAAGTTTTGCTGTGGGGATCGAGGCTTTTCGTGCTGCTTAAGAGATGGAAATGCGTACAGGGAGCAGCCTTCCGACTCCTTTGGCCAAGCTGCTTTCACAGGTGATATCGTCATAGTTCCAGTCAAGACCCCGTCAATACGATATAACTAAAGAATCTGATGCTCATTCTTTGTTGGCTACACATTGCATTGCTGACTGTTTCGACTCTTACGCTGTTCAAGTATACCAACTGCATTGAAAGCCTGCAGCTACATATACCTTAAATTCTCGTTCCTCATCACAATTGTAGATTCTCATGTGTGTGAAAGTAGCAAATTGAACCAAGCTTGAAATCGCAATGTTCCAGGAATACCCGACGTTATGCTGACGCACTTTCGGTTGATGGCAAAGCTGCAGACATTACCAATGAATCCGGGGCTCCTAACAGCATTGGACGGCAGCAACCAGCGTGAAGGCCCACATCGTAGGCCGCACGCTTTTGCTTCTGGAGGTACATTTATAGGTTTAAATTCCCAGGACGGCATGGCCCAATAGTTAGTGGCTGGAATGCATGGTATATATTCACGCAGGTGGCACAGACACGGTCATTAAGCCACACCGTGAATGACAAGTTTGGGAAGTCACAAGATAACTTCAGGCACGAGCACGACCATAAGTCGCAGAACTGTAAGAATGAAGTAAAGTAGTGGTGCACTTGTGCACGTAGAGGTAGAAGTAAAAGTAAAATATATTAAGCATTAACTTTCCTCGTTCGTTAATACCTACACATGCATGCGAAACCGACTGCAACTATCCCATCTATAGTTCACGTCTATCCCGCTCCGTCCCATCTGTTACGACATCGACAAGACGATGTGGTAATCTCGTCGCCTCGTCCCATATGTCGCAACATCCTGATGGTCCGACGTGGCGATATCGTCGCCTCGTCCCATCTGTCAGCACGTCAAGTCTGTTTAGTCAATCAGATACGGTTGTTACTTACCTCGTGACAGGGTATTGCGTTTGACCTTCACGACCTGTCAACAACAATAGCTTCTAACAAGAACAGCTCGATGTCGCAAGCACCCGTCATTTCGACAGTAGCCGAACTAAAGTGTTGGAATCACACAATGGAACGAGTCAAAGCGAATTGAAAAGCGACACATTTTCACAAGACAGCCGGATTGATTCCAAAGAGGGAGCATTGTTACTTGGGAATGTTGACCAGGTGGGAACCGTGATTACGAGCAGACTCTTAGTGATGTGCTTGGTATCTGTTGCCCAGTAGTGTTCGACTAAGAGTGCTTAAGAGACTTGTGTTGAAGGGGCTTTCGTTTGACATAGCAAAAAAAAGCTCTTGGGATATCGTGGATCTACACGCTGGAAAAGGCTCAGACACCAAGCCCGTTCAAGAATTCAATGCATTTAAAGACGCGCAAGATGCAGCACGGGAATGAGACCTTGGAGTCTGACGTCAAAGCCAACTCCAACATCGTAGCGGTCGCTAGTATTTTCATACGAGCTTAATCTGAATGACTGTCATGTTTTGTTCACTGTGATATATTGTGCATACTTCGTTTCTTGCCAGCTCGCACTTGCATGACACCATTAACAAGACGGCACTAGATCTCACCACGCCTTGTAGTATCTAGACATGTTACCTGTTCATGGCTTGCTTAATCCATGTTATCTTGGACTTTAAGCCAAAGCAATATCAATATAGGAAACGACAGTGCCCAACGTCAGCTTCAGATGCGTCAAAGACCAACATCGACACGAGTCATTTTCGTTTTCTAGCAAAACTTTTTGCAGTTTTCGTCACCGAAACGCTCCGACTTTTAGGACAAATTCAAGCGCGTGAAAGTATAAAATGCCAATATGCAGCACGCTTCTCCTAGCTTTGTGTGCTGCCAGTTGAATATAAGTTCGAAGCGCTGTCATCGTAGAGCGTAGTAGTGTAAAAGCACTTAATCCATAAATGTGTCGCCGAAATAAGCTGATCAAATTAGTTGATGCCGTCAGGCTTCGTAAGCATCTTCATGAACGGTATCAAACACTGTCAGAGCCTCAAAATTCTATCAACCCGTCGAGCGTTAAAAGATAGGGTGCATGTTTGATCGACGATAAAACTTGAGCAAATCGTCAGACTGACTCGGAGAAGAGAGAACGATGAGGAGCCGTCATAATCAGGACTTTGCATTTGCAGGCGATGCGAACAGGTCTAGATTTCCATATTCGATATGAGCCTTGAAGTCGGTGGAGACGAACAAAGAGTGAGATAAGAAGTGCATGATGAATCAAATTGTACTTCTTTGTCAAGGCGGCGCTTTATGGACATGTAAAGCGACAGGTTTCCAAGCTGCAATGCTAACAGACGAAGGCTGGCTTTTTTACGACATGTCGACGGATCGCAGCGGGAAACCGGGAAGGTTCTTTCGCAACTGTCTCCAAACTACACCAAAGCTCCAAGTAGTAATGCGACACCCAGGACGAGCCATCCATCGCTTGTTTTGATGTAGTTAGCAGAGCTACCCTGCTTCATTGTAGACGATGTAGATTTTAATGAGTGATCAGACGTCGACGATGGAGCAGAGATCGCCGTCGATGAAGGAGCAGAGGCTGCCGTCGATGAAGGTGCAGAAACCTTGTTCGACGAACGAGGAGAGGCCGCCTTCGATGACGCCGGGGGCTCCTCCTGCTTGACGTCCAGATTATCGTCATCGGGGGTAGAATCGGACACAAGCGAGCTATCTCTCCACTTTGAAGAGCTTTGTAGTCCCCCGTGCACGGTCGCGCCGCCTTTCAAGCCATTATTCGAGGGCGGAACGCCGTCGTCCACAGGTTTTGGTGCAATGACCCCGAAATCCAAGGTCTTCTCGGCCGCTGGCTTTGGGGTGGCAGCTTCCGCGATAGGGTTCGATGGCAGGGACATTGGAGGAGCTATCTGAGCCGGGGCAACAGGTGCTGCCTCAGCCTTCGTAGCATCGCTTCCATCTGAGATGACCTCGACCTCAAAGCACGTTGAGTACGCCGCGCCAAAGTATCCCTTTGCTTGGGCCGGGTCAACGTAGGAAGCCTCGTTATCGAGCCAAAATGTCCAGTACCACACCAACTTATAAATACCCGGGGCGGTCCCTGCCGGAATGGTGAACGTACCGACGCATGGCTTGCCATTACCAGCCCGACCACTTGGGTTTCCATTATAGTCGACCGACTCGCCACAGTTCCCATCGTCGAAGTTCATTGTGTGTCCATTGAGCAAATGTTCCGGTTTCATATCGAGCGTCGATGTAAGCGATGTCCCAACCTGAGCTGTCCAGTAGATCCCGTACTGTGTGCCAATAGCCTTCTTGTCCTTAGTAATGTGGCCATTTGGCATGTACCCGAAGAACGCTTCCTGACCCGGGGCGAGCGAAATCCGCTTTCTCCAGTCCGAGTACGCGTTGCCACCAGCGCTCATGCACACGGGTGTTCCAGCCTCTACCTCATTCTTTAGCATCTTGTGCGTGTATTCCATGCCGATATCGCCATTACCGCGACCCGGGTAATATTCTCCATATCCTTGACATTTTCCGTCGCCACTGGCCCCCCCAAAAATATACGACACACTTTCATCGTAAACCGTGGACCGTTTAGTGTCGATACAGTCGATCCAGGAGTGCGCCTCCGACACGATTGAAAGCAGAGAATGTATCAAGGCCAGTGTTGTGGCGATGACGGCGACCATCGCTATTGCTTTACTTTTTATAATGTGTACCGCCCATTACAAAATGTAACATGGCACTGCGATGTTACGAGGACTCGGTTTAGGAGGTGCCGGCTTATCCACAGCATACTGTAGTAGCATTTTTTTGTGCTTTCATAGTGAAATAAACGAGAGAAGAACTCGAAATGTAAGAAAAAAATCTGAATACCTGGTCAATTTATGACCAGGACATGCTGATCGGATCAGCACTTAACTGGTTACGCTTCAACCATTTGTTTGAATGATGGACGGTATCTGACTGTGAAGGTAGCATTACTTTGAAGCCAGCTGGCACTTGGTTCTACAAGACGTTGGCGCATATATGGTTTCGGGTTGGATGGGAAAAATCTTTTTGATTTAGTTTTAAGACGCGTGCAGTACTTTCACCATGTACATGTTACGGTGAAAGCTCTAAGGGTCTTTAGGTGGACCTCCTCCATTCCGCTAAGCATTTGTACTGTATTTGATCGGATACTATTTTAAAACGCATCACTTGTTGCACATTCCGACCTGAGACTTACAGCACGTTTGTAAAACTATGGACGACTTCTTAGGCTTACAATCGATCAATAAATACTAATCAATCACCACTGACGAACGTACGCGCGCACGACAACCCCTATCAGAAGATTTTGGCAGGGCAGGCACCTCTGGACTAGATTTTGGTACGACGGGTGGCGCCATCGGAGCTGCAGGCGGCTCTTTGAAAATTTGAGCTGCAGAAGCAGACGCCTCTGCTTCAGGAACTGGTTTCGTAGAGCCAGGCGTCGCTTCTTCAGGTGGATTCGTAGAAGCAGGCTTCGCTTCTTCAGGCGTATCCATTGGAGCAGATTCAGGAACTGGATTCGTAGAAGCAGGCGTCGCTTCTTCAGGCGTATCCATCGGATCAGCTTCAGGAACTGGATTCGTAGAAGCAGGCGTCGCTTCTTCAGGTGGATTCGTCGGAGCAGATTCAGGAACTGGATTTGTAGAAGCAGGCTTCGCTTCTTCAGGCGTATCCGTCGAAGCAGGTTCAGGAACTGGATTCGTAGATGCAGGCGTCGCTTCTTCAGGTGTATTCGTCGGAGCAGGTTCAGGAACTGGATTTGTAGAAGCAGGCTTCGCTTCTTCAGGTGGATTCGTCGGAGCAGGTTCAGGAACTGGATTTGTAGAAGCAGGCTTCGCTTCTTCAGGTGGATTCGTCGGAGCAGGTTCAGGAACTGGATTCGTAAAAGCAGGCTTCGCTTCTTCAGGCGTATCCGTCGGATCAGGTTCAGGAACTGGATTCGTAGAAGCAGGCTTCGCTTCTTCAGGCGTATCCGTCGAAGCAGGTTCAGGAACTGGATTCGTAGATGCAGGCGTCGCTTCTTCAGGTGGATTCGTCGGAGCAGGTTCAGGAACTGGATTCGTAGAAGCAGGCGTGGCTTCTTCAGGTGTATTCGTCGAAGCAAGTTCAGGAACTGGATTCGTAGAAGCAGGCGTCGCTCCTTCAGGAGGTGGTGCATCCGGCGGAGAATCTTGAGCATCCTTTCCCTTCGAAGCTGACGCTTCAGCAATTGGCGGCGTCAAATCAGGCGTAGCAGCAGGAAGGGGTGGTGATGTTGGCGGATCCGCATCAGCAGCCACTACCGATCCAGGTGCCATAGAAGCGTCCGGAGAGCCCGGCTTCTCAGCTGGTGCTTTTGCATCCGAAGGCGTACTGCCTGTACCGCCACCACCACCACCACCATCACCGGATGTCACTTCTACTTCAAAACAGGACGTATACGCTGCGCCAAAGTATCCTCTCGCCAAATTCGGGTCCTTATACGCTTCCAGGTTGTCTAGCCAAAACTTCCAATACCACACCATTTTGTAAATACCTGGAGGCGTGCCTTTCGGAATGGCAAAAGATCCGATGCACGGCTTGCCGTCACCTGCACGACCACTCGGATTGCCATCGATGTCGACCGTCTCACCGCAATTGCCGTCATCGAAATCCACCGATTTTCCGGTCAGCAAATTCTCCGGGATCATATCGTGTGTCGAAGTGAGCGATGTACCTACCTGGCCGGTCCAATAGATACCATGCTGCGTTCCAACGGCCTTCTTGTCTTTCACAATGTGGCCATTGGGTAGGTAGGCAAAATGAATTTCTACCTCCGGTGGAACGACCATGCGCGTGCACCAATCCGTGTACGCGTTAGGACCCACGTCCTCACAAATAGGAGCACCTGCCTCGACCTCATTCTTTAGAATTTTGTAAGTATAATCCGTTCCAATAGTGTTCCGACCGCGACCTTGGTATCCAGCTGCGTAGCCTTCACAAAAGCCGTTTCCTTCTGCACCGCCAAAGATATAGGAAGCACTTTCGTCATAGATTTTCGTGAGATTTGTGTCGAAGCAATCAATCCATGAGTGGCCTTCAGCAAACTGTCGAGCAAGAGACAGCAAAACCAGCGAAAGAAGCGCTGTTCTTGCTAAGACTATGCAGGCCATGTTGATTTCTCCCAACTCGTCAGATGTTACGGCTACTAGGGGATTCGAAGACTGACTTGAGCTTACAACTATTCTTTTATCATTCCTGTCGTGTCGTGATAAGACGTGTGGTTCCACCCTTTTTATATATATTGCTAGAATTTTGGTGCAGTTGCGAGTGGATAGAGCAGGCAAGTATGGACGAAGAACGACTGCAATGCAAGACATGTTCTCTTTGACGACTCCAACGGCCAATGGTTGAGGCTCTGCAGGAAGATAGTGGATCAGCATATGGACCTCTTCATTATCAATGTCACGATTTAGTACAGCAACGCGACCTAGAAAACGAAGCTCGTTCACTGGATGCGAACTTTGCTCCCGCGTGAGATTGACAAGCTGAAAAAATTGATGCCAGCTGCCATGTTTCATTCCTCATATGGCACTGTTGAGTTGAAAACAAGAAAAGAAAACACTTGATCAAACATGCGGTCGCAGTGAGAAAAAAACATGGATAAGTGAGGTGATCCCCCTTAGCGCATCCATTCCCGCCTCACCATTTAAGTATCTCTTCAGCTAGTCAGCAAAACATCTCACAGCTTTCGAACGGCACACAGCAGATTGAGGCCAAGTGTTTAGTCCGCAGCTCAATGACTGCCATGAGGACAGACCCTATTTAACCCATGTGAACAGCCACGTGCTTCCCCATTTTGCCCATGATCATGAGGTGGTTCAAGTGGCCAGCCAGAGCTTCCGTGAACGTGGGCAGCACCGTGTACTTGATGCTGTACTTCTTGCACACGTCAAGAATGATCGGTGCAATTCTCGGGTAGTGATATTGCGAGACGCCCGGGAAAAGGTGGTGCGTCACCTGGTAGTTGAGCGCGCCGGTCAGGAATGTCGTGAAAGGTGAATTGTGCGCATAGTCCACCGATGATTTAATCTGCGAGATAGCCCACTCGTCGTTAATGGCTGTGACTCCTCCGTCTTTATCACCCGGGTACTCGCATGCCGTGGATACATGGCTCACCTGGAAGTTGAAAGCTAGGTACCAGCCCGTCATGAACTCTGCGAGGAAGAAAACGCCCCAAAATCGACCAGCGTCTACCTGTAGCAAGACCAGCGGAATGTAAAGGCGGTAAAAAGCCCAGAATGCCTTGGACAGGATCATCTCCACCCAGTCGCCAACCGAATGTGGGTTCACGCGCAGCGGTCCGTTCGTAAGCGCGACGAATGTCTCAAGAATATCCTGCACACGGAACTTGAGACCGAGCACACCATAGAGCGGTGGCAGGTAAATGTGCTGGAACTTGTAGATGGGCAGCATCGTCTGACGGTACACAATACGTCGCACGTCGCTCTTGAAGTCTACCGGAAGGTCTGGGTCAGCACCAGGGACGTTTGTGTAGACGTGGTGGCCCACCACGTGCTGGTTGAGCCACGACACCATGTTTGCACCGGTAACCCAATCCATCACAAACCGTCCGATCAATCTCCAGCCCGTCGGACTGCTGGTAATGGCAGCGTGCGACGCGTCATGCATCACGTGCAGCAGTGGAAGTGCCTGGCACACTCCAAACACAGCACCCCAGGCGTAGTGGGCGTAGATATTGTCCGATAGTAGCTGGTTCATGCCCATGAAGGCAACTACACCAACAATTGCCACTAGAAACATCCGCCACAGTCCCGAGTACGGATTCCGCGGGTCCAGTTTGTTATCTTTAAAGTACTCGTTCACGCGGTCACAGCACTCTTTGTAGAAGCCCGTGTCCGGTTTGTACATGGGAAACTCAGAGCCACCGATAAGTTTGCCGATAGCGTACTTGGCCAAGATCTTGTCTGCGCGATCAGAAAAGGGATGGTACGACTTGAACGTGTCCGTGCACTCCCGGCCAGAGTGCAATAGCACGAGTTCGCGACCTCCAGGATGACGATCGGCCCATTCTGATGGTGCAACAAAAAGTATCTATTGAATTAGTACCAAAGCAGTTGAGAGACTCCGTTCTGCTTGTGGTCGGATCGTACCAGTCACGTCGTAGACAATACCACGGATGATGACCCAGGCACTTTTGGCCGTATTGTGTTTGGCTACGTCCTGCCACGTGTACGAAGTGGTAATCTTGTCGTTCGTGGCGGCTACAGCGTCTTTACGTTGGTACAATCCCTCTATAAGAAACATCAATAGAAAGTTAATAGAAAGTCATGGAGATGTATTATTTTGTAAAGAGGAGATATGTACCATTTATATTCATGGCTTTGTCACTTTCAATGGGAGCCATGAGGGCGTTTTATTTATCAGTACTGAAATACGAGGAAATTGGTTTTGTTGGTGCAAATTGAATTGTGACATTAGCCGAACAGGGTCGTAACAAATAAAAAGATTTGCATCCGTTTAGCTTCTCAATTAGATACTTGTATTTTACAGTAGATGAAACGGTTTAGGCCGGTATTAGAATATAGAGAGACAAAGTGAGGGATTGGTTATAGCAAATCGAATAGCTATTGTACAGGATATAAAGTGTATGCGGTGAAGGGGTGAAATGTGGTACGATTGCCTGCCAAAAACGTGTGGCTCTCGATTAAACCTCGAGCGAAATAATGGCCACACAGAACTCAGCCTCGAATCCGGCGTCGAAGATAGGCTAGCGAAGATATCTGTGTAAAAATAGACCTAGTACGTTTGACTGAGGAATCTATCTTTTTACGTCAAAGTAGCTCAAGGAACATAGTCGTCACATGGCTACATTAGAGTTTAATGCGAATGTGAGCCTGCTGAAGTACCGAGGCAAGGACACAGATCGCCAACATGTAAAACAGTAGCACCGTAGAAGCAATGACAGGACTTGCGTTGATAGTGTGCATGCTCAGATTGACAGCGCCCGTCATCAGATTGGCCTGTTTGCAGTACAAATGTTTGTTTGCTTAGCGTATTGTCGCCCTTCCGAGAGTGATGCAACAAGCCGCTTACCACGATAAAGATGAAGAGCTGGTTCTGGTTGATACCTTGAAACAGTAGTGGAACTCTTGGCAGCATACTGTGTACATCGTGCACAATCAAGTCATTTCATGGTAAGGATTGTGAGGACTGGGAACCAAACACGTACCAGACAGTTTGGATGACACAGTATATCGCCAGCAAAAACACGGACTCGGCCATGACCCACAATAGATATGACAGATTTAGCTACAGATACAACGTGAGGTTCATGTCCTTCATTGTTGAGCAAATAACTAGAAATGGTGAATGCTCACCATTCGACGCGACGGACGTGCAACCAGTCGAACAGACAGATACGTTGACAGCCACAACATCACGGTGAGAGCAAGCAGCGCGGCAACGAGCCACCTCATGTTGCGCTGAGCTTTCGCTCCGTTGGTGTCAATGTAGCCGAATATGTTTCGGCCCGCATAGATGGAAAGCATGTACAGTGAAGTGTAACCTGGCAGACGTAGCACATCATATGACGTAAGTTGTTTTCATCTTGCATACGATCCAAATGTACTTACCAGCTAAACTAAGAATTCCTTCACGATTCTGGTTCATCAAATTATCCCGCGGTGCATTTAGCATGTACTCTTCACCACCATACTGAGATAAATACATTTGATAGCCTGTTCAATTAATATTGTAGCATGGGTCAGTTCGATATAAGCATATCATCTCGATAAAGAGGGAGCATAGTGTGCACTCGCTGGCATACCAATAGCGATTCCAAGGGCCACCACAGGGCTCGTTGTCCATTTGCCAATAGCACGAAGGAGACAGTACACTAGGTACACACCCGCGAGGGTAAAGTAGAAGTTCCAGTGCACTCCGTACTCAGACACGTGCTCCTAGTTAACACAGATACGATCAGTTGGCGGCCCATACGAGATTGCCAAATCGCTATCATACCTGGTAGTTGACACCCTTTATAGTCAGAAACCTTGCTACTCCGAAGATAAGGACAAGCGCAATTGGCCGAAAGAATGCGTAGCATCTCATCATAAAGGTTTGTGCGGACTTGTGCTCGGAGTGAACTCTGCTTTTTAGCAACGAGATTTGTCAATGATGAAAGTTGTACAGCCATTAGCAAGTACTTTACTACGCACCTCGTCGTGATAACACTAGGACGTGCTTCACGAGCTGGCGCCGACACAATTGCCGATGAAACGATAAATGCTCCTACTCCGATGTCCATCTAAGCAGTCACAGTCACTCACATCAGCTGCTGATGACATCACAGTGGCCATACCATCAAAGAAAGGATTGCTTACGACACTAAAACCATAGTTTTCTGTCTTAGCAAAGCGACGAGGGAAAACTGTGAAGTCAACCGCCAGGATCGCAAAACACCTGCATCGTAAAACATTTGGGCACAACACAGAAGTGAGCACTTCATATCCAGCAGTATATACACGCCACTTCCTGTAGCTCACGTAGAGAGCATGATTTGAGCGCGAAAGTTGGTCAGGAACGGCAGCTCCTTTTCAAGTAGCTGGTTCATCTTTTCCTTTCTGCAGTGTTTGTGAATGTACTCCTTGGCATGGAACCATGACAACGCGCAGAGCATCACTGCCATGCTATACACCATCATAAGAAGTGGCGCTGCATACTGAGTGAAGCTAAAACCGATCATCATTGGCACGACGGTCACGACGAACTCTAGCAAGATAGTCACCACCACGTTCTACACCATTCAGACCGTTTCCATTAGTGCATCGACCCGTAACGAAAATGCCTATAATATCGACCATAACTCCGATACACTTACTGGATTACCAGCACCAACTTGTCGAATACCCATGACTTCCAGCAACAACATAAGCTCCGAGTAGAGCCATAAACATCCCTAGTAACGATACAACAACGTTTTATTTTAATGTCTCCTGACTTCAAATCTCAGCCATTTCGCACCATTTTACCGCTATATCAACAAAAAGACATTACGCACTGGAGAGATAGCAAAAACAAGGAAAACTTCGCGTGCGCTAGTGCCCTGGAGGTCAGCCACAAAGGCCATTTTTGCCAATTTGTAGTCCTCGTCCATCATGAACTTGGCAAAAACAATAATTCAGGATTTATAACGAATCATCAGTCTTAGAAAACTATATTTAGCCAATCACATGCCACACGAAGGACAGTTAAGCATCATTAAAGACTCGAGATGACTGGTATGCTACTTGTCGATATATCCCGCCTCACCGTGGAGCTATACAGCATCTAGAAGCTTGGACTCTGTATAGATATGAAGGAAAAGACTGACAATGAGTGTACCGTAAATTGATGGATATTGAGCAGATTACAAGGAAGAACAGACCATGGAAGTGGAAGCTCTCGAATCCATTTACATGGATGACTTTATTAGTGCGTAAACGTCCTATTGCTGCAATGTATTACGTACACATTGGATGTATTATATTAACCATCATGTTGCTGATGTGATGACAGAGCTTTCGGACGAGCCGTTGACCTATCAGGTACACGTGGTGCCCAATCAGGATGGCGAGAACAACTTTGGTGCGCTCTTTAGCTTCTAGTTGGTAGCTGCTACTAGGTAGACAATTTGCTGACAATCTGTTGCTTTTGTTTACATGGATCGCAGTGGCATTGCTGCTCAAGGCTGTAATCCCGGAGACATATCCGGACGTCGAGCCAAAGGTTTGCACTTGCTGTTTTTGTTACTGTTAGCCTTGTAAATGGTATTACTAGTTGACTACTAAATGCTGATTTGGTCTTTGTCTTTTCTTGTCGTGAAGCTTGAGATTGTTGTGAAGAAAGGCCTGATAGACAGTCAAGTGAAGGAGATCAAGCAGTTGCTGGATCAACAGGTCCAGGAGAACATGGGTATGGCCATGATATACACGCTGTCCGAGGCAGTACGGGAATATCTAGTGGAGAACAACCGCGAGGGAAATGTACGTTACGTTAACGCTGGACTGAAGTGGCGGATTTTATACTTAATGCTACAATCTGCATCGGTGCTTGGATAGGATGGATCGGAGCACCAGGAGATGCTGCGTCGTATGGAGCAGAAAAAGAAAAAAGATGATAAGGTGGAAGCGGATAAACAAGAGGAGGTAAGGCGTGATAACAGTGAATATGGAAGCTCCAGCTGGTACCATTAATTGTATGTGGCTGTGACAAATGCAGGCAAATGCAAATGAAGAAGAGAAACGGCGTGAAATTCACGGTAAATTTGGTCGCTTGTTTGATAGTAGCAACAACATCAAGGCATACTAATGTCTCTTGGCTTTGATATTCTGCAGGCACACCAGTAACTGTTGAGACATTTGCTGCTTGGAAGGCAAAGTTTGATATGGAGATGCAGGGCACGAAGAAAATATCGCTTAAGGATGAGGCTACTGCAAAACTCACAGGTACAGTACAATACAATGCAAGTTGCAATGAAAAACATTTTTTCATCTTGTCTAACGCAACGAATTGAAAGGTCGACAATTGTGGAAGACGGGTTTGGTCACGGAAGATGATGCCGAGGAAGCTGAAGCCGAGGTTGAGGTCGAGATCGAAGATGTTGCAGAGCTCAATGATGAGGTCGTAGTGCAGGAGAGTCACAAGTAGGCAGCCATAATGTAGCTATATGCTTTAGTAGAGGTTTCAAATCTTAAGTTTAGCTTAAGACTGTGACTGACTGACAAGAAGAAGAGCAGGATGACGACCTCAGGTACATCCGCTGCTTCATTTGATTCGGACATCACAAAGGCACTGTTCTGTCACTGCTGTCAAGTGGCCTGTCATCGCTTTCGTCCTGCCCGACCCTGCAGCGTAAGTATAATCATATTTTGTGAGAATCATATTTTGTAATAATCATATTTTGTGAGAATCATATTTTGCTGAGAATCATATTTTGTGAGAATCATATTTTGCTGATAATTTGTTGTAATATTTTGAATATGGCTACAGTTTTGCCACATGCTTGTATGTCCATTTTGTTCATGTGGTACGGAGCCCCATGTACTGTGCAAAGACTGTCAGCCTCAAGTACGTGGCGCTCAACCGACGTTCTCCTTCCGGCATCTCTTATGGCGTTTTAAGATGCTGCCATTCGGTTGCCATGGCGAGAAGTGGCTCTATCTAGTACGCAAACGTCAGACTTGTGTGGTACCTACAGAACTTAAAGGAGATGAATATCAATGGCTGGTGCATCAATTGCCGAAACAGCATAGAGTTTCTGGGACATATTTGGAGCAAGTACGGACACTTAACAGGGTGAGGAGGGGGGGTCAATAACAAAAGACGGAGAGTTGGAGAGAATACTTATAGTGATACATTTGTTTTGCTGGTTGCTCTCTAGGATGTCGATCGTACATTTCAGCAGCTGCAGATACGAATTATCAACGCAAAGCGATCAAACTTTTTAGTCAAGTCACTGTATTCACCGTCTGAATTTATGACGTGGAAATCTACCACGCATCAGCTGTTGAGCATGTTCCTGATGCTCAAACCTCAAATCGGATACTGCCAGGTTTAAAAGCTTACTTTGTATGTTTTGAGAGGGTTGAACTAGTAGGTATCTAATGTTTGTCTATTACTTCTTTTGCTGCAAACAGGGTATGACGTCTATGGCAGCGGTACTCGTTCAAGAGTCCAAGATGAATGGTGAGATTGCGTTCCGGTTGTTCCTGGCTTTAACGGAAAAGTACAGACTGGACAACGTCTATGGTCCCGACATGAAAGATGTGAATCTTCGCTACTTTCAGCTCGACGAAGCATTAAGGCTGCACTTACCACGTCTGCATGCCCACCTGTCGGAACACGATATTCATCCGTCGACCTACGCATCTTCGTAAGTGAGCCCGTTGATTCTATGAGATATGTCTTTATCATTATTTACTGCACCAACTAACTTTACTTGATGAGCTGCAGCTGGATCCTAACGTTGTTTACTGAGTGTAAGCTGTTCCATCACCGCTATGCCATCGCTTTCCTAGAATTGTTCTTTGAGTTTGGCTGGAAAGTATTTTTTCAGACTTGTTTAGCTATCTTTAGTACTATTGAGGTAAAGGTTGGTAGCACCAAGTATGTTTACTCGAGTTCTTATCTTCCTAAGCGGGTCATTTTTGGCTTCTACGGACAGGCTCCACTGTTACGGAGGTCATCTTCCGAGGAAATATTTACTTACATATCCAAGGTCACGTGGTTCTATCGACACAAGGTAGCGATGTTTTATCCGATGTTAAACACGCTAGTAACTGACTTCTTTGCTACATCAGGCCGATAATGATCTTAACCGATTCTTTGCGACTGCAAGGACGTTCAATGTAAGTCTGTAAAATCTCTGGTTTGTGGTGAATGTGTTGGGCCTAATTGCTTCTGTACGTCTGGCGTGGTAGATCTCAAGCTCTTTCCTGGCCGTGTTGCAAGGCGAATACTCGACTGAGGCCAGCATGAGCATGAACGAATACGACTGATGGGGCATAGTTCTATCATTTTCGACTAATGGAATACTTCGAAGCATACCAATCCCTAGGGTCTGAACAAGACTTCGTTGGTGAGCTGTTGCAATCCTGTAGATACCCCACCCAGCAGAGCGACCCGATCGGTGAATCAAATTGCATACGCCGAGCGCTTAATGTGATATTAGCGCCGGTGTTCAAGCACAGCTCAGTTTGTTTGTACATGGAGATTAAAGTCACCGGAAGCCGCACGCCAGGATTGAGGACCTCTTTAGCGGGAACGCTTGTAGCTGTCCGACCCTTAATTGGGATCGGGTTTCGTACCCTTCATTGCACTTTCGTGATGCATCTAGCCCACGCAAGTATCACAAACCTCTTGGACGTGGATTGGCAGGGTGGATCATTTTGGCTTGAGTGCTCCTTTACGATAAATTGCCTATCTTCGACCGTGGACAAGTGTCGCACGTAGCGAGGACCGATTCAAGCAGTGGCACAAGAAACAGCGGAAGGACGTCGCGTTCCTTTGCCAGGCTAGCCTAGTTATAAATTATAATAACACAGCTTTGCTACTCATTCTCCTAACCGGCTTTATCACTGCGTAATTTGAGCCGTAAAAAAACTAACCCTTCATGCTTCATTTCCTTGCGTTGCTGTGTCAAAAGTGACATGCTGCGTGAACGACACGCGCTTACGCTTGCGCAGTGAGGCCGCGAGTGCACGTGGCTTGGCGCGCTTTGCTGATACGCCAGTTTGTGACCCCCATTTTAGATGATTAAACAGAGCTTCCGTGAGGAGGTGTTCGCGGATGACCCCATTGTTTACCAACGGACGAACTTTGCCGTATAAATCACTGACACTCATTGTAGCAAAACGAACAAACTCCATCATCCCCTCCAATAAAGCTCCCAGCGGCTTTTCAGCGTTGGCGACACGGGACTCACCCCACATAACAAGAGCCTCCATTAGTGCCAGTTCTCGAATCTGTAGCTCGTCCTGAGGTATAAGTTCCAACAGTATCTTCTCGGGTAGTTGTACCACCTGAGGGTCGCAGAAAACTTCATGTGCGTACTTGAGCACGAAACCCTTGCACATTTCTCGCAGCGCTACTAGTTCATACATCTCCGCAGCAATCAGCAGCCCCAGCACACTTTCGAGATCCAGCACCACGTCTCCCGTATACATAAAAATCAGCATCTTTTCCACAACCGTAGGCTCAATACCATATAACTCCACATCTCGTCGAGATGATTCACGCATATTTCCAGTCAGCATCGCACGAAAAGGCGGCGAGCTAGCAGCTACAATGAACCGATGCGCATGGAACCTCCGAGCGCCTTCCGTTTTACTTCCATTAGTAGCAGCATTTTCCGATCCACCTTCTCCATGGTGATGTTCACCACGTGTAACACACAGCACCACATCTGCTCCAATCATCGATTCACCGAAACTCTCTTCTCCATCACATACCACTGCTTTCTTCAGTCTCTCAGACAAGTCCCGGTGGTTCGAACACGCCGTCATCACACGTTTTCTTGCTCCTCGCCGTCTAATAGGACGACCAGAGCCTAAACTGATCTCCGACGACGTCTCTGACCTCGAATCTTCATCTTCATTGGACTGCGGCGTCGACTCGATATCTGCAAATGGCGACATATTAGCAGCTAAAGGCCCCGTAGGTGATCCTGTCAATGCCTCAGCCATTGGCAAAGGCGGCGAGATAGGTGAAGGACGTCTCTGAATTGGTAAAAGACTCGTATCTCGCTCTAGAGACGGCAAAACCTCCGTCATCTGATCATCAATTGGAATCTGCGTCTCTTCTTCGTCGTCCGAGTCATTCTCTTCTTCTTCCTCTTCCTCCTCTTCCTCTCGTTCCATGTCTTCTGAGCTCTCTATAATTCGTCGGTCTGTTTGAAGTTGACGAATAGCATCGGGATTCGAACGGTGCGGATGTATCACAGCACTACCTTTAGCCATCGGGTCAAGAAGTATACTCGGGTTTTGTTTTTATCCAATAAGAGTGACGTATACGGGACTTTAGAGGTCCTCTCGCCCAATTATTACAATTGACAGACGAAAAACAAAACAAATGATCAAGGGGATTCTTATTGTAAACAACCACGGCAAGCCGCGTATTGTCAAGTTCTATGAGCATGTGGTGCGTCATGTGCCGATGAAAATAGTACTGCTTTTATATAGGACTTGACGCTAATCATCTGTGGGGGGTTCGTTGTGTTTGATTGTTTTTTTTTACTTAGCCTGATGCTGAGCAACAAGCGGTGATCCGAGATATCTATACCCAAGTGTCCAAGCGTCCCGATACGCTCTGCAATTTCCTTGAGGGCACGTACGTATAATTATTGATGTCTGCTATGGAGATACAGTATCGATGTTGACTAAAGGTCCTGGCTATGGACGTGCAAGTGTACGGTATTGGGGCAGTGGTGTGAAGCTCATTTACCGACACTATGCGACTCTGTACTTTGTCTTTGCAGTGGACAAGCAGGAAAGTGATCTGGGTATCTTGGACCTCATTCAAGGTATCTACTAGTAGCTGGGGGCCTTGCGTTGTTATAATGGTGGCCTTGTGTTCTGATAACGTGGCTTTGTAGTGTTTGTAGAGACACTGGACAAGATCTTTGAGAACGTGTGCGAGCTGGACCTGATTTTCCACAGCGACAAGGTCCATTATGCTCTAGACGAGATCGTAATGGGTGGAATGGTACTGGAAACCAACATTAACGAGGTGCTGACGGCTGTGAACGAGATGAACCGCAAGGACAACATGTCGTCCAGACGTTCGCTGCAATCAACCATTAAGAAATAAATCATAAAACGAGGGAGGCTGATGATACTAGACGTCACTGATGCAGCGTCCATATGCTCCCAGTACTTTATCCATTCTGCACGTGCCTCAGCGCTTTCATCATTAATACTTCAGCTTCCACGTTGCAGCTGCAGGGGTCGACATCAATTGTATCTCTCGGGTGTCTAAATAAGCTTGCTTTTCTTGCTCTTCTTGTCATCCATTGTCAAAGCAGTCATGGCCTTCACTTCCTCGTCACGATCACGGAGCACGCGGGCTTCCGTCTCTTTCGCCTTGGCCAGCGTTTCCTCATTTGGCAGCACACCTCCTAACTCCAGCACCAATTTCTCGAGCATTTCCACTTTCTCATCAAGCTGTTCCTTCTCTCCTTGTACCAGATCGTAGCGCTGCTTGTACGATACTATCTGTGATGACAGCGACAGCGTCAAGAAGGCAACACCGATGTTAAACACGTTGAGCTTTTGCGTGCGCAAGTGCGAAATGAAGGACGTTGGGTACTCTACCGAACACAAGAGAGAATATATATTAATCCAAATATCTGCGTGCACCTACTGAGTAATTACAGGACGTACCTTTGCGAGGCGCTGCCGTGGAGAGGCGGCGGATGCCACGAAGAGTGAACATGGCGATAGTGTCTTGAATGGTGATCACTGGGGGTTACACGTAACCCTGCAACGTAACCTGGCTACGTGACCTCGAGAAAATCATAGACCTGACAAAAGACATGCAGGTGTTGGTCAAAAACGTATCAGAGCTGTCTGCAAGTGCACGGAGGAATAACAACAATACGGGCAAATTCTAAACTGCACCTGCTAGCTGGATATTGGCCGTTTGACTGCCGGTGGTGTCTATTATAATAGTTGCAGATCGCACGCCTCAAGCCGGCAAGCTGAAAGCTACTTCCATTTGTTTTGGTTCCTAACTTCATCCTAAGTCCAGCACTGGATATTCACCGTCCAGCGCACAGTGGACAAATATATTTGTCTTCAGTGTTGGCCATGGCTGCAATAATCTCTCTGCAACAATCACAACACAGCATTAGTACCTGGTTAAACAGCGGCGGTACAACGCAACATCATAACGTACTGAGTAAGACTCGAATCACAGGCACCGTGTACCCAAAGTTCGCAGGAGTCGCAGCACACAAACGTCTTTGGATCGTCGTCCTCGTACACTTCATTGCAAACTGGACAATACTGACCCCGAGCACGCAGCTCGCGTTCGCGTGCCAACTCCTTCTTCGTACATGAACGCTTCCTTACAGAAGAGACCGGGGGTGTAGGAGCAAGTACTGCACTTGTAGCCGCACGTCTTGACCGTGGGGTCCGAGATGAAGACGTCTTGCGCCTCTTCGAAACAGATGCGGGTGATTCAACCGATACTATCGGCTCAGTATATTGGACACTCTTTCGCTTTCGGAACGATGACCTCGCAGCTGTTGATGGCTCTTCTTCCTTTAAATCATACAGACCCGCATCTAATACTCCCGGCTCTGCTTCAACCATCCCCGCCTTCATCTGTCTCGTTAGGCCTGTCAGCTTAGCCTCAAACGCTGAAACGTGAGCGGTGGCGTACGGTTCTATGGCCCGATTCGCGGATACGTATCCATTCATCTGCGTAGGCGATGAAAACGGGGTCGGTTCATCGCTCTCTGAGTCTTCCTGATGTTCACGCTTACGACGATTTTTCTTCTTTTTCTTTTTATCCTTGCGTCTCTGCTTCCGGTCTTTCTTCTTCTCCTTCGATGACCCCGTAGCAGCTTCGAACTCCTCTCTCGTAAACTTGAGAATCACCGCAGTAGAATCTGCAGCATCTTTTGGTACTTTTGCTGTCACTTGATCGTCATCCACAATCTCTTGTGCCGCTCTTGTCTCCTGCTTCTGCTGCTTCTTTAGTAAATGAATCTGTTGCTTCAACCTCTTCTTCTCTTGCAGCGCTTGATCCTTTTTGCGCCGTTCCCGTCGCTTCTTTTCAGCACGTTTCTTATCAAAAAGATCTGCTCGCTCCAGCTTCAAATAGCACTGAAGACACAGATCGACCTCGATCTTTTGCTCTACCACCTGCATCTTCCCTCCCGTCGTCTTTGGTACAATCTTAGCCATGCTCTGCGCCATAAAAGTGCTAGCCAAGTTCGCCCCAACATCCGTCACCAGTTTCTTAACCTTAATCGTTCTCGTCTGTGTACGCCACAATGGCGTCGACTGCGTCTTACACTCTCGGCACGTTTTCGCTACCAGCGGAACCGGATCCAGCACCGCACCCATAGGCGCAGCTTTGCGTTTGCCAACTCTTCCTCGTGAAGATTTAACCACAGGTTTTAACGCAAACTCCCGGGGCGGCCACGGCCGATCGCGCACAAACTCTACCACGTCCGTCTCCTTGTTCTGTGTCTTGTCTGGAGGGTAAAACTCCTTTCCGCTACCGTCCAATACGCCGTCCATCTTCATCTTTCGCAGCAAGAGCTTGTCATTTGCTGGCTGTGGCGTCCAGACGTCACTGGGCACGGGCTTGAACTCAAACTGGTCCGGCGTCACGTTGTTCCATTGTGCGTTACGTTGCGCAAAGCAGCTGCGTCGCAGAAGCTCCAGCTCCGTGTCAATACGCAGTGTCATCTCACTCATGTGCTCGAGCTGCTGCGTGCGGCTGTAGAACGCTTGCAATTGCTTGCGCACGTCCTCGGCGTTGTCGACGTCACCGAACTGAGAAACGGCGGGTGGCGTCGGCTCCGAGACGTAGGCGACATGAAAGGGGGCATCGTGGCACGGAAGGAGCGGAAGACCGTCGCTCCCTACGCGAAACGGGCGCCCGGGGGACGCAAGAGACGGCGCATGATCGACTTGAGTGCGAGTCACAAGTGAAGACTTAGACGCTGTTGGAGGCATTTGGGCCAGAGATTTTCGTCAAAGAGGTAGCGGGACAAGACCTGGAATTTTTAGGTCAGTATAGAGAGGGAAGAAGGGGATTTTGTAGACCTCAATAGCAACAATTTTGGTGATAAATGTGCACTTTTCAAATTGAGTACATCTAGCGTGCCCAATTTGATAATTTCGTATAAAGAACTTTTCAACTTGAAAGATTCTTTGTACGAATTTTGCGTTTCGTAAATTTGTAAGAACAATCGGATTTTCGATAAACATTTTACTTAAACTTGGCAAAAACTGGGAACAGCGTAATGTATTCGTAAACCTACACTAATTTTCGTGACTGATAGGTATTCGTTCCATAAGTCCTCCATCTATGCATACTCGTGACTGCACCGTCAAAGTGTAGTAAACTCCTAGCGAACAATTGTTCCGGACTCAAGTTTCCTGTCCTAGACTAAAAAATTCGACTTAAGCGTATTTAGGAATTGGATAATGCATATCAGAGTCCCATGAGCTGTTAGAAAACAGGAAGTCCCAGAGAACCCAGTCCCAGAGAACCCTAAGTGCTTGTTTCTCTATCAATTGGAGGCAAATCCGCTGGTATACAGATGTAAGTACGTTATATCACGTGCGCAGTCCTTTTTGGGCTGGAAGATCGAATTGCACAACGGATAGAGAAATCTCGCAAGATTGAGGAAGAATATGCACGTCTCAGCGAGATTGACAATCGAGGAGCGTTACTTAGTGTAAGCACAGATCGAATTATACGAATGATAATGTGAGGAAGTGTCGTTTTCACGCCAATCGCGCACGTGTGGGTGAACTTCATTGAGCTCATGGTTGGTAGTCACGTGATTTTTAAGAAGGCGCTGCTGGATATGCTAATTTTTGCACTAAGGATCAACACGCTCATTTTTGACGGCGATGCAAGTGATGAATGGCAGACCTCTCAGTCATGAGGGTCGATCTTGCCGTGGATCGACTACCTTAAGCGCATAAGGTTAACTACATGATTTGGCCGTCAATTAGTATCGTTAATTACACGGCAGTATCGCATTTTGCTCATCAATTGCGTTAACCTTGAGCAACGGTGCTATCTGTTTGTGCTGGACAAACTTCGACTCTTATCCAGGGTCAAGCTGACACAACAAAGACTATTTGCGGTTCTTGATGCTGACTCTGATTAGCCATCGAGCGTCTGTTATCTTGTCTATCCATTTGTACGTTTGAGCGCAAAGTGATGATACTATCGTCGTCGTCGACTGGGCACATGAATGTAAAGGAAAAGACGACAAATAAAGTTTTGTTGCCATTAACGCGGAAATCGGCATTCAGGTGTCCACGATACTTTTTGTAAAGTGTCTGCGTGGATCTAGCGATCTTCATGCGACGACCTTGTCTGCATCATTGTACCAAAACCTCCACAGACTTTCCTCCTCGTTCAGATGGAAAAGATATCAAGCGACAAAGAAAGAGCAGATCGGCTGTCTCCGTCGATAATGGAAGTTCGGGACTATCAAATGGAGAGCGCTACTGTCCCGTCGACAAAGGCATCTCGACAGTGCTAATAGACGTAGCTGCCGCAAGCGTGTCGAATGAAGGAAGCTCCACAGTCTCGAACGATGCAGGAATTTCAAACTGGCGTGCACGCTTCAGTTTCTTCGCCTGCTGTTTTAGCTTGGTGGCATCAGACGTTGCTTTATTGGTGCTTGCCGACTTAATCTTGCCTTTCGTTTGAGCTGCTTCCGCGTCTGCAAGTAACTTTGTCAAATCAATGCTTCGAACGAATGCGTCAACGACCTTATGAGCCAGTTCATCCTCATCCATAGTCAGAAACACGCCAGCCATAGACTCATTCCGGTCCTCGGCCTCTTCAGCAATGAAGGCGCTATGTCCACCGCCTGTCAGCTCAGGAAGAAATCCATAGACGCTCTTCTCCGGCTGAAACTGCTTAAAATACGCCGTCACATTATCTTTGCAGTGCTCTAAACTATAATACCCATCATTGGGCAGTCGATTAAAGATGCCACCCAGCACCTTGACACCATGGCTCTCAAAGAACGTCGCGTTCAAAGAGAACGAATCCACTGCATCACCCACACCCTTTTTACCAACCAGAACCACCGGTGCCTCCAATTTCTTAGCTATGTCAGCATTTGACACTCCACAAATGGATCCAACTGCAGGGTACCCCACCCCATCCACTACCACGACCTTCTTCCCTCTCCCGACTTCTTCCACCTTCATCTTAGCTTTCTCCAGCAACTCCGCCGAGGTCTCCGTTTCACCCTTTAGAAACTCCCTCGTGAATCCTCTATAGAATAAAATCGGCCCCACATCACAACAGGTGATACCCTGCTGACGACAGAATTTGGTCACCAACTGCGGCTTCTCGCATTGCGTGGCCGGTTTAATATATGCAATGTCACTTGCCGCATAGCCACTGCGTAGCAACGCACCCACCAGCCCTAAACACACTGTAGACTTGCCCACCTGAGCTCGATCTCCACTGACAAATATCCGCAATGGCGATCCTTCTTGGACGATTGGAGAGAGAGTGGTGGATGAATAACGAGATTCAAGCAGCTGCTGTTTCATCCACTGCAGCAATGCCGTCTTGCCAAAGACAATAAACTCCTTTTGGTCCATTGAAATGCGGGCAAAAAGTTCGCCTGATTTCTGTTGATTCACTTGGATTAAATTCTTCTCGAGCTCGTGCGCGGCCAGCGCGTCCACTTCTGCAGCATTGACACGAGTCTCACTATGCAGCACTAGACCGGAGCCATAGAGGACACTAAAGCCGCGTAAGAACTTCAACACCTCGGCCAATTCGACGTCGTCCTGTCGTCCATAGATGACACAGTGGACACTAGAGTCCGTCGTCATGGCGATACTGTGACAATACTTTTGTCCACTTGATAATTTTTCAGATTTCTGGAATTGTGATTGGATGAAAAGCAAAAAGTTCTTTGTAGTGATATATTCCACGCAAGTATCAACGCTATGATGATGCATTTGGCTTCATAAAACCCACGTCACGATCGACCCACTGGATTCATCGCAAAACCGTAGCAAATCGGCACGATGTCGCTTTTCAAAGCACTAATTGCACTTGGCTAGTTCCGAGAATTATGATTAGAAAAGGTGACAAGGACGACAGATTTGAGATACACCGTATCTACCAAATCTGAAAAGCATCCAGCCATTCATTCAACATGGGGCTGCAGCAGCTGGCTGCGACGATAGACTCAGGTTCAACCCTGCGCGTTCAAGCCTCGAACAGAACCTGTTACCTTTTCAAATCAATCGAAAAGGATCACGATAACTGTTTTGCTCTGTTATTGTTTTATTCCGTGTGATTGAAACGAGGTGCCATTGCTATTGTAAAATTTATCAAAACTCGAATTATAATCGCGTAAGTTTAAAGTGCCCCATTGCATTTTGTACAACTCGGACCAGTCCGTATTATTTAGAGTTGTCCCACGCTGACCATTCTCTACCAATTTGCAAGATCTCATACAAGATAAAATGTAACTGGATTACAATCAACGCGACTTGTATCGAATTCTAAGCAGAAGAAAAAAGTGTTGGCGTACGTGGGTAGCTTATCAGAAGGGACAGATTGGTGGTAAGATTGCCCTTTCTCTGTTATTGATGGATCCACTAAAATCCGGCATGCTCTGTTTTATGGATCGTTTACCCGAGATACACCTACCCGCTTCCAAATCTCTAACTTAGAAGCTCTAAAAAGATAAGAAGTATCTAATTACACAAGTATAGTAATTTACGTTTATATTCTTACACAATAAAGTATAAATGTGCCTACGAATTAAAAGGTTGTGGACTAATATCAACAATTTACATCCCACTCTCTAAAATTTTGGTGAAACGGAACAGGTCGACACAGGCTCGTGTGTACCACGATCTAACGACGGACCCACAGGCAAATAACACGGAGCTGACCAGATCGCATCTTTGCAAGTGAAGCTCAAGTGCCCCACCGAATCATCGAATCAAATGCCACTATATCGTCGTGGCCCAGGCTTGGGCTTCTCAGGACCTGCAGGACTTGAATGGCCACACTCGTACGAATCATCATCAGACAACATTGCAACCTCTATGGAATTGGATCTCCGTCTTTTTTCCTCGTACTTTGTCGTGGCTGAGTCGCTGGCGACCTTTTTGGGCTATCGCATCGCACAGCATTGTATTCGTGGCTGTCCGGTGTATTTCCTATCACCGTCGCAGCGTATGTGGATTGGTTTTTTCTACTGTTGGCTCAAGATTCGATTGGTGCGTTTGTCTTGAGTAGAAAGATTGTTTACCGTTTGATGATTGGAGTGCTAACGTTTTGATGGGGACGATTGTAGATTGACTATGCTTTTCACGGCACCGCGTACTACACCATGTCCCTTTGTATCATGGTCGTGTACTTTGTCTATGCATTGCTGGCCTTTGGCTTTCACTTTGGTCCGCTACAATTTCTCTTTTTCGACTACATCCCTAGGAGCAAGATGACGCAGAGTTTACTCTACAAGTTGGCGATCTTGTGCAAAAAAGTCTCGGCTCGTATCGAGTTTTACGTGTTGCAGCAGCTTATTTGCTCCCCGCCGATAGAGACACGCAACAGAGATGCAATGACGTCGTCTTTAATCACCACGAATCCATTGGAACATCTCGACACTGTGGCCTCACCACAACGAATCGATGGTAAATCTCGGGTCACATCCTTTTTTGGGCGAGAGGTGGATGTCAGCATTAAACTTTGGAACAGTTCCATGTGTCAGCAGTGGGCCATAGCATTAAGTTCTGCTGCTCGCTCTAATGCTTCACGAGTTCGTGTAAAAGATGCAGGCGTTGTCGCACTTGCTGACAACGTCTTTGAATGCCGGTTCATGTTTGTCATGCAGCATGACGGCCTGTTGCTAGGCTTCTTTATGACGGCTCCAACGGCGACGCTGATGGCGAAGTTCAGGGACGGAAAGGCTGTGCCATTCGAGCTGCTGCAGCGATTTAACTGTTCCCGCTCGGCGATAGCAACCGCCCAGCCACTGTTTTTGTATGCGGAAAGTCCGAGATTGGTGGGACGAGCAACACCAGCTCAAAAGAATGCCGTTTACGCGCTACTGTTGCAGCTCAACAGCGCTCATGGCAACACGGCCGATGTGCCTCTTCGCGCTCTACGCGGCAAAAACTTCGTGGATGCTGGTGTCGGCCAGGTGGTGAAGAAGAAGGCACGCCAAACGGGCACGTTCAGCAACCTGGATCGATGCTAATTGTCATCGAAGCATGCAGGAAACATCGTGAAGGTCACTCTTATTTATACTGATAACGTGCACTTTACTACAATATAAAAGCATGCTACTCAATCCTTTGTTCAATGTGCACATATGCTGCGCTTCCGTCTCAGCAGAACTGTGGTGGAGGCGGTACAGTGGGCACCATACCCAACGAGAACTCCGCTTGCTGAAATTGCTCTGCATTCCATGCGTCGTCGCGAGCCTCAGGGGGAGGACCACTGATTGCTGGGGTCGATGGAGGCGGCGGAGTAGCCGTGGTCAATACTGATGATCCGCCAAACAAAGATGAATTACTCGTTGTCGAGTTTCCAAACCGTCCCGTTGCACTGATGGCGCTTGTTGAAGCACCGAAGAGACTACTTGATGGCGCCGAAAATGCGGATGGGGTGGTTGTGCTGGATGATGCGGACGCACCGAACGGATTAGTGGCCTCTGTAGTGCTGTTGGATGATAAACCAGTTCCTGATGAAGACTCGCCAAACGGTTTGGCCGTAGCATTGATGGAAGACGCGGCATCGCCGAAAGCGTTGGGACGAGATGTTGCTCCCGAGATGCCACCAAAAGGCGTAGTGACCGAAGGTGCCCCAAATGGTGAGGAAGTCGGTGCTGTTGCATTACCACCAAACGGTGAGGACGCTGGCGTTACTGTCCCGCCGACAAATGGCGAAGCTGCTGGTTTTGCTGCATCCCCACCGACCCCGGTAAATCCTGAGCCAGTGCCGCTTCCACTAAAAGCCGAAGTAGGCACTGAAGATCCAATTCCAAATGGTGAGGCTGTGGCCGAGACCACTCCACCAAACGGAGACGATGACGGTGTTGCTGCTCCTCCAAAAGTAGGTGTCGCTGGATTACCGAATGGAGACGGCGCAGATGTAGCAGCAGCACCTTTGAATGGATTGGCCACCGCACTCCCACCAAATCCTGCGCCACTTCCTGCTCCCACTACTGACGGAGAACGAAAAGTCGTTGTACAGCTACCACCTCCAAACGGGCTAGCAACAGTTCCTCCAAACGCTGTGCTATTACTTCCACCAAAGAAACTAGCTGCTGGTGAAGCAGAGTTCCCAAACGGAGAAGATGCAGGAGCAGGAGCAGCAGCACCACAGCCAAACGGATTTGCCACTGTTGTTGTTCCACCAAACGACGACGATGTCCCTCCAAAGGGACTAGTAGCTGTCCCACCTCCAAACGGGTTAGATGTTGCACTCTTTACGCCCATACCTTCTACTTCCGACAGTGTCTCTCCATTGAACAGCTTTTGTGCCGACTGGCGGTTCTCAAGCAGCCATATGACACGTTGTCGCTGCGTCTGCTTCTCCGCTGCCAGTGCCTGAAACTTCTGCATAGACTGTATACAATTCCCAGAAGCTTTCAGCTCTTGGTATGCTTCCCAACGAGCTTCTTCACAGCTGACATCACCTGTCACAATACTTGGCAGCTACAAAGAAACAAAACAGGAATGCAACTGCATGTAAGTTCCAGATCTGTCACTACGTACCCCACAATTACTACAGATAATTGGCCACATACACCTTTAAAAACTGCAAAGCCAGAAAGTGGCCAGATCGGCGGGTGCTGAAGTTCCTCAATTGTCAGCGTCCGTCCAGATTCAGTCATCGTGACGCCTTGCGTAGTCGACAAAGTGTTCTCATTCTTGCCAAACGGAGACTGTGACTGTGATCCAAAACCGCCGCCAGTGTTACGATTACAATTGCCATCGTTATTGCCAAAAGTCTCGTGTGAGAAACGGCATTTGTTGCCGTTACGGCATGTGCCCTGACGGAAGAACTTGCACGTCTTCATGTAGCCAACTGCCTCGATCGGTACGCACTGCTGTCCACAACGACGTGTGATTCGTCAATAATCTTTTTTCATTTTAGCCAATCCGGAATTGGAAAGAGATTGAATCTCTGATCTAAAATGAGTCAGAAAAAGGTGGCGATCGGGGGCTTGTTGGTGCTCGCGTCAGTCGCTACGACGTGCGTTTTCGAGTCTGTATTGGTGCGAACTGTCGAGAGCTTTGAAGAGGGGAGATCCGTGGTGGTTTCGCTGTCTAAACCTGACTTTTCGCCGAGTACGGACGGTCAACTGATTCTTTTCTCCGGCTTGATCACTACTACAGCATCGATAGGTAATAATCAATGGAACAAAGAGACCACAGACGAACTGGAACTCCGGCAGAGTCCATTTGTATTGGACACGACGTTTGGAATTGCTGTGAAAGGTGTGAGACTCTATCGCCATGTAGAAATGCTGCAATGGGTCGAGACGTCGCACACCTCGATGAGCAGTACACCTGAGGATGAAGATCGGCGGTTCGATAACAATCGGGAGAGGATCTTTATGTACGAGATGAGATGGAGGGAGAAGGTGATTGATAGTATTGGGTTTCATGATCTTGGCTACACAAATCCACCGTCTGAAGCTTGGACGTACAAGTCGCATGTAGTCAAAGCGAGCGACCTTGTCGTGGGAGATTTCAAGTTGCCTGACGAACTGATTGATCAGATTCAACGTCGAGATGTTTTGCACTTGGATGCTACAAGTCGTCGAGTGATGGCGAATATACTGGATCAACGAAAAGGAACAGGATGGGAACAAGGAAGTGCACTGTCGAATATCTCGGTTCAGGAAGATTTTTTCTACTTTCGAGATGGAAAGCCTGTTTTGGGTGATCAACGTGTGCACTTTGAGGTGACACCCAACTATCCAGTGACGGTGTGTGCTCAACAGAAAGGAAAAGACGTGGTGCCGTTCAAAAGCTCCACTGGTGAAGCGCTGTATTTGTTGGAGGACGGAATCATGACTGCGAACGAACTTTTTGACAAGAAAACGCACGCAGAGGTACGTGATGATTGTCGATACAAGAAATCGTTTTTGTTTTTAGAGCTCACTAATTTTTTGTTTTGTAGGTTCGCAAAAATCGGTTCTTCAGGCTGTTCGCGGGTGTGCTGGGCTTTATAAGCTTCTTAGTATTGCGCAGCCCGATCCTCGAGCGCGTCGGATCGTTTCTAGCTGGCAGTCAGCAGCATCTACTGGCAAGCAGCATGAGTGTTGCGCTCACATTTACGGTCGTTGGAGTCAATTGGATTCTGTACAGGTACTTTGGTGGTCAAAGTGTTTTTATATTCAATTGTTTAGTGCTGACATACGCGAGTGCTGTTATGACTCTTATGATTCTATGTATGCAGACCATTGTGGGCTCTTATATTTTGGCTTGGTGGCTGGATGCCCCTAATCTGTCTTGTCTTCTTTGCTCAAGCCAATCAACAGCTGAAAAGTCAATAAGATAGCTCTTGCAACTCAATCTGGTTAGTAAACACATGACATGTATCAATCTCTGTCACAATTGAAGCCATCTCGACGTACGTCAGCAAAACCGTTTTTTATCGGTATCGTACCGATATGTTTGCTTTTCATCCAATCAAATGGCCAAGATTGCCGACTCCAGTCGTTTGAAGAGCTACTTGCTACCTCGGACTTCCTGCACTCCCTCTTTCTCTGTACTTCCTGCTTCTCTCTATCTCTACATACAACGCGAGCAGTAAATTATGGAGATAGAATCGATGGCTGTTCAAGACATGGTAATTAATACGCAGTCAATAAGTACGCAGCATGCACAGGAATCTACCCAGCAGATGGACGTGGAGATCGAGGAGAACGGTGTTGTCCGTCCCAACTTTCCGGCTTTGAGCGCCCAGCAACAGTCTGGAGGCAAGAATGATTTTCGTCGCGTACGTGTGCCGGCACACCGTTACACACCGCTGAAGAACGACTGGCCCAACATTATGAAGCCCATTGTAGAACACCTGAAGCTGCAGATCCGCATGAATACGAAGACGCGCTGCATTGAGCTGAAGAACTCGCCACACACGACAGATGTTGGTGCTTTGCAGAAGGCTGCTGACTTTGTGCAGGCTTATATGATGGGATTTGAGGTACAAGATGCCGTGGCTTTGCTGCGTCTGGAAGACCTGTTTATTGATACGTTTGAGGTGAACGATGTTAAAATGCTCAAGGGCGACCACTTGAGTCGCGCCATCGGTCGTGTAGCTGGACAGGACGGCAAGACCAAGTATGCCGTTGAGAACGCTACCCGTACACGTATCGTACTGGCTGATCAGAAGATTCATATTCTTGGCTCGTTCTCCAATATCAAGTTGGCGCGTGACGCAATCTGCTCCCTTATCATGGGCGCGCCACCTGGCAAGGTGTACAACAAGATGCGTAATGTAGCTAGTAGAATGAACGAACGATTTTAACACACAAGACGGTGATCCCGGACGGATGCAGTTGCACAATGCAGCAAGTCGGCATAGATCTACGGGGAAAAACGAGAGGTGCATTTGCACATGCAAACACGCTCGGGCTTTCCAACTTAAATATATTCACTTTGGTTTTGTCTGCTGTGTCCTTCTGTCTTGTTCGTTCAGTATGCTGGAAAAAGTAAGCTCTCGACCCGTCTCCAGACCTGAGTTTGATCACTCCTGCTAAACTGCGCTTTGGTGCTTCCTCGTAGTGTCACCGAATGTTAACGACGGCGATAGAAATGGCAAAGTGACCTATCGGTACCGCTCGAGTCAAGTGTCGACCGAACTAGGATTCCTACCGCTGTTTGTTACTTTGACTAGCGTCTAAAATTCGATGCAATTCCCCTGTAATCGGCTCGATATTCTTGTCGGCCTCGAAGCAATCGAACAGCTCCAAGTCCACACCCGGTATCTCACTGTAAAAGGCCAGAATCTACAACTCCAAACCACATCAGTGTCTATTTTCATCCTCCTTCCACTCTTAACAAACAAAACAACCACCACGCACCATATGCGCAGATCCATAACAGGAAAACATGCCCTGTGCTCCTCTCACATGCACCACCTGCGGATCAATTTGATTCAGTGTCGCCGCTATTGTAGCACCCAGCACTCACAGTCAGTCTCCATCATCTTCTTTCAACATGTTCAATATAGACGCACCAAACTGCAGTGCTGCGTCCTTGAGGTTGATAATCGTGCGTGTAAACTCGTCCGTATTCACCTCCGTCGTCTCTGATTGTGCTCTACCGTCACCAACAAAATTTACAAAATAGTCAGCCAGTTTCCTTCTCCCTTTTGACTTATTAGACACCCCATGACAATAGACGTCGTGACGCACATCATGTCACCACTATCACCATCCAATAAACACACGTAGCTGGTGCCTGGATACACGGCTTTTATACACTCAAATTGTTCCTGGAAGAGCATGCGTCTCTGTAAATTGCTGCGTTTTCGCGACAAACAGCGACACCACCGACTCATACGACGAGCCGAGCAAAAGGTGGTGAAGACACTAAAAGCCGCGTCACGCAGGACTCGATGTAGTCTTCCCCGTCTGCTTCTTAACCGAAGGGCACGTACACCAGTTATGCTTTTTCTTTGTCAAATCGTGCAATGGGGACTTTTGCACAATTTAAAGCGGGTCGTAGAAATTTTCAACAGCTCAGCAGCTGGGTCAAAAGTCGAGAAAACAAATTGACAGTCGCAAGAGAGTGACGAGTTACGGACTAGAATAAGTGGAATGTTTGCATGCCATATGGATATGGGGAATGAGATTGTAGCTTTCTGTTCAAGTTCCTTTCTTGGTCTCTCTCTCACCAGCTAATTATGGAACGAAATGACGACCACTCCGTTACGTCTATCTCAAGCAAACATCCTCGTTGTTGTTTTCCAACAGTTTTTCATTTCGCACGTTCTGGAAACCAATCAGGACATTCTTGGGGAAGGACAAACAACTCGTGGCGTTCATCTGGGTTGCTAAAGGGGACGTTATAGGTCAATGACATGATCTCTAAACAGGGCAGCCGTAGATAACCTATACACGAAAACAAAAAAAACAAATCGTTAGCTTTGCTCGAAATGGACTGCCAAGAAACAATTTCAGACATTATACCTGTCTTTGTTGGTACTAAACCCAGCCGGAACACTTGTTCGTCAAAAGGAAGCAAGTCTTTCGTAGCATTTGTGCAACCGGAAATGAAAAACGTCCCCTCTGTATCCACTGGCTTGATCCGCAAGCTGTGAAAGACAGCTTCATTGTTCTTTACTTGAACGTCCATGGAGAAAAGGACCCCCTCGACGCCAAACGGTGGCGTCTCCACACTAAAGGTGAGAGGGGCAGCCACGAACGACACCAACGGAATTTCCAACCACGTTCTCACTACATCGTTGCGAGACTCATCATGGGGAACGCCCATTCTTGATGAAGACTTACGCCGCCAAATAATTTCTACCCGACCAAGTGTGACAAAGGGTGACGCCACTTTCGGTACCAATCGCAGACAGAAACTCTGCGAGTCGCCGTCATTGAATGTTGCACAAACGTCTTCACTGTTACTGTTCTCAGAGTCGGTCGGTTTTAATCCAAATCCTGAGATCGCCAAGTCTTTTACCATGTTCGTCTCGCGCGGTTTAAACTCCAATGCAAGCACATGTAATGCCTCTCCTGACGTGCATGTAATGCTCCCTCGGTAGTTGACCGAGCTTCCCACACAACCGTACGAACCTGTCGGCCTTTGAGCAGCATCAGACACACCGCCTCCACTTAAATAGTCGTGAATGAAACTTCCTTGAATCGCAAACGGGTTATGGCACACCAAATTAAACCGTTCATCAAAGCCTACAGCCACGCCTGTCTTTGTGGTGTATGACACTGCCGCGACTAATGTCACAGGTGTCGCCCTGGTCGAACGAACGATAACGCGGAAACTTTCTTCCGTTTGTGGGTTTTTATTCGGAAGAGAGATCAAATGTTGCGGTTGTAGATTAGTATCCAGCGGCACTGGAGTCAAAACGCCCGATTGCTCAGTGAAAAAGAATGCATCACCAGGAGCAAATGATGCCGGTGGAGGATCACAAACGATTCGAAATGTTACATTCTCCAAAGTGTCTTCATTTGCTGCCAACTGAAAAGCAAGTTCACGAAAATCTCCCGTCAACAGTGGTTCATGGGAAAGCATAGACAGAGTAGCCTTCGCGCGAGGCTGCAGAACGATCAATGATGAACCTTGAAGATATGCAATACCATTATCCTGAATGGGTTCACTAACATCAGCGTGGGCAGGTCGAGATCCCTCAACGGGTAAAAACATTGACTTTCTCCTGGAAAAGCTTGGAGATGCAGAGCCATTGCCCATAGCAGGAACGCGGCCATTCATTAGGTACAATTGCGGCATCTCTCGTTGCGCTACAGACGCGTGGTCGACCAGCAGACGAAAGATCAAAAACTTTTCCTCTGGCCTTTTACCATCTGCATCAACACTCTCCATCTTCGCACCATGGCTTTCGCTACCCAAGTAAAACCGTACTTCCTGAACAGATAGCATTTGTCGACCGTCCAGCACACGCAACGGAACGCGGACTTTCTTGATTGATTTGTGAACAAATTCCAGCGAGGTGAAAAGATTTCCGTCATCGCAAGTCAGAGATCCAAATTCTACTTCAGCTCGATGGTAAAGTACTGTGCGGTAGCGTTCGTCATTGAACAGCAACTCTATCTTCGATATCACAAGAGACGACGGGAAATATGATCGTAGTTCCAGCTCCAACGTTACATTCCCCTTCACACAAGCAGAGACGCGATCAAATCGAGCTGTTACCGCGAAAACCCGGCGAGATCGATCAAGTGCTAATTCATGCCCGTTCATGAGCGCGGAGTTTTCTGTAAATGGTGCTCCTAAAGCTGCCGGGTCCCTCCACGCTGTTAAGAAAGAGTCCTGAATACGCCTACGCTCTTTGTAAGACACAAATTCCTCTACAGCCGGAGATAAAAGCTGCAGCGAATAATCCAAGTAAGCAGCAGTATCTCCCTGGTAAAAGGTGCATATGAGCAACTGCTTCAGAATCTGAGCACTTTGTGCCGAACAGTTCTCGATACCGAACCTCGCTATCGCTTTCTGCAATTCAGCACGAGCACGATCACACTCGCCCAGCGCAAGTCGTTCTGTTCCCATATGCACTAGCAAGCGGCATTTCAATCGACTACGCGGAGCGTTGTGGTCAGCCACACAAATCGTTAAATGCTGAATTGCATGCTCTAGGAGAAGAATAGACCGCTTGGCATGGGGAAAAGCCCTTTCCAAGGCATGACGGTACTTCACAAGAGCTGCCACTGACGGACCCTGTGATGCGGCATTGGCCTCGGAAACCACTGGATCGCCGCCAACAAATATGGAAGGCACTACAACAAAATCGCGTTCCGATAAGGTTTCATCATTGGCCGTGACAGTAGACAAAGTGGTAGCAGTTGCGAGACCAAGTTTTACAGCTGCCTTCCTTCGAAACATGGCGTACTTTGCAGCAATGGAGAAATATAAATATGGCTCCTTATAGACGTCTGACTCCAACCCAGTGTTTGAAAATGAGCCACGAATAGAAGTAGCCTCGGCCAGCAATTGTGCAAAGACATGGTACTGCCGAGATACCCAATCCCAGTGTTCGTACGCGCGATCTGCCACAATAATAGCACGTGCGTATACATTCATGTGGCGGTGTAGTTGGTCTACTGCACCCTTGACATTGTTGGACGAGAAAATCAAGTGATAACACAGTTTAAAGTTCACACACTCCGCCATCCTCATAACCTGTGTATAAGCAATCCCATCGACAGCTTCGTTTTCGTTCAGCGGCAGCGTGATAATGGCATTATAAGCGGCTTCATAATGCTGCAGCACTTTGGTCGTATAGCGTCGAAACTCATAATAATGTGCGATCTTGAAGCTCAGCCTCGCACAAAGTACCTGATACCCTGGCACCTTGGCGAGAGTTTTCTGATACCTTTTCACGCGCTTCGATTGCGTCTTGTAGTACTCAAGCGCCATGTTGCGAACCAGTGATTCCAATTTCACCACCACACTCGATCCCCGCACGAGATCACTCAACTTTATAAGCATCAGTCCCTTTGAATCTGTCTCTAGTCTTTTTCTCAAATTTGTCAGCCTCTCTTCACTTGTATTGATCGGAGCTTCACTCACATCATCCACTTGTTGCATCAAAATGAGCATCACGCGACACTCTCTGGCTGCACAAAAGTCCCAATCACCCCATTAAAAAACGAACCTCCATCAAGTCTATCCACTGAGCTAAATAACACCCACCTGATAACACCCGTTTCAGCTCCTCCACCTCATCCCGGAGCGCCATCTCCCTCTGCTGCCACTTTTGTGGCTCCCAACGAGGATCAAACTCGTCAAAGAGCAACACCACTGCAGGTAGCAACTCCTGCTGTTTTTTGAGCCATCGTACTTTAAGAATTCCCTGTGTCGAATAGCTTTCAAAGTCACGCTGTGTCTGAAAAGTCCCGTGCTTCTCGCGCAGCTCTTTCTTCACAGGAAAACGGTGCTCGCGCGGCAGCGATACGAAGTGTAGCTTGGGTATAAATTCCTCATTTGCTGCACGAATATGTGGCAGTAGTTTATGCTGTACCTCGTGCGAGCCAAGCGTTACAATCAATGGGTACGGCGTCTCCTTGAGCTCCGTCCCAAAGCTCTCCATTGTATGCAAAGAGCTCTTCGCCTCCCTTTTTTCTGAGTCCAAGTCACCGGTTTAATACCGGTAATGGTGTGGAGTTTCAACCAATCAAATAAGAAGCACGAAAAGTACTGAAAGAAAGAGAGAAAAATTGCTTTTTGTTTGACAAATGTTACGTAAAGGTCGAGCATGTCGAGCGACAATGATCCGAGTATCTAGGGGGTTCTTAATGACGTCGCTGCATCGACGATGGATATCGATTAGAGAGACTGGAATATTGACGAAAAAGTACCTGAATGATCCGAGTCTTCGTGTTCGTATTGTACCAATGTTAAAAGATAATTACGGTACGCAGGCGTAGTTTGGCAAAATATTACAATAGCGATGATGTAGTTATTTACAGGTATATGTGAGTGATAGGCTACGTGGTGGTAGATGAGGCCAATCAGACAATGTTTGCAGTCGATCCTGCCGAGTCTAGCAAGATCTTGACGGTATTAAAGGAGGAAGAAACGACTCGAAACCGCGAGTTTCTTGGCGTCTTGACAACACACAAACACGAGTATTTCTTGTGTCGATTTACTATCGTGATTTTTACAGTAAGAAAGACTCATTTGAAGTCGTTGATGTGGTGTTTTTTATCGGCAGAGATCACGCTGGAGGCAACGAGGAAATGGCGAAACACTATCCGGACGTGATGATTGCTGGACCGGAACATGAGCGGATCCCAGCACGGAACTGCCCAGTGAACGGAGGAGAAGAGTTTAAGATTGGAGCGGCAAAAGTGAAGGTGTTGAATGTATCCTGCCACACGAAGGCCCATGTGGCGTACGTTATCACGGGCGACGATGAGACGCCACCACTGCTGTTTCCAGGCGATACACTGTTTGTAGGAGGCTGTGGACGCTTCTTTGAAGGAACGGCGGAGGACATGTACAGGGCTCTGTACGAAGTACTTCTCAAGCTACCAAAGGACACGAGGGTGTACTGTGGTCATGAGTATACCATGTCGAACCTACGTTTCGCTCTTAGCGTAGACCCATCTAATCAGGCTTTGCGCGACAAGATTTCAGCCGTTCGTATTCGTCGGGCGAAGAATCTGCCCAGCGTCCCGTCTTCCCTACGTGAAGAAATACTCTACAACCCCTTCTTGCGCGTGCATAACGAGACTATTCGCAATGCTGTCGGCGGAAGAGATCCGGTCAGCGTTCTTGAAAACCTTCGCCGACGCAAAGACTCGTTTCAGTAAGTATGGTATGGCGTAATTAACAAAGTTGAGCATGCTCGTCTACAGCACTTGCGACAGTGCTTTACTACTCTCTAAAACGCTACATACACGTAGCTTTGTAAACCACGTAGCCGATGCTTCTGGCTCAAGCATGTTTATACAGCAATGCTCGAGCAAAACGAGCTCAGTACTTTAGACTGGCAACAGCACGGTGCCGTAACGGATGAGGCTTCCCAAGACAAACGGCACAAATGTCGCTGAAAGCTTGGTACGAAGCTCGCATCTCTCGCTGCAGTTCATCACGGTCCAAGTTCTCACAAACCGGAGTCGTGGAGTCCACCAGCATGCGACGCAGGGCTTCTGCGTAGTCAAAATGGGCAAGCGCGAGTGGTAGATGGTACCGCCAGGACACGAGCTGAAGAGCTTTCAGCAGCCGCCGACGAAATTTGTATGCTTCGACAACATTGCCCAACTTGAGCTGGGCATCCGATAGCACACGTGTCATTGCAATTGCAACGCTGTGGCTGAGATGGAAAGGGATCACTTGACCGTTCACGTTAACGCCTCTAAGAACATTTCCAAGCTCGGCCACGACGTTTGCGTATCTGAACTGGTTAAGATACTGCTTTGCGTTAGCGAGCTTTGCTCTCACCGTCAGGATCGCTGAAGCGATGACAGTTTTCGGGACATCAAACTGGCAGTTTGGACATAAAAGTTTGTCTTCCACTTGAACAAGCAAACACTCGTTTTCTCCAACAGCCTTCGAAGAGCAGGTGGGGCAACAGAAGCCTTCTAAGAATCGGTCAATCGACTCGCTCAGTGGCGCTGCGCACCGTTCACACCGACACTCAAAGTGCTTGGTTTTTCGCAGCTCCTCGCGTCGTTCGTCACGCTCCACATCAATGTCAATATAGCTCAGCGTAAACTCTTCACCCTCGTTAATATCACGCAGTGCTCGCACTTCCATGATGCTGTCTCCAGCATTTGACCACGTGCAATTCGGTTGGCAACTATGATTTACCAACCCACAAATTGCAAACAGTCCAACCGCTGCAACCAAATGCTTCTCATCTAATGCATCCAGCGCATACGAGTTCTCATTGATCTGGGCAGCAATAACAACAACTTCTTCCACTGGCAAGTGGCACTCGTCTGGTAAATCCTCCATGATCTTTCTAGCGCCATTGCGCACGTGGTCCACCCACAGATCGTCCTTCCTTGTCCAGCACATGCACCAGGTCTTTCACATTGGCATAACTAGCTTTCACAATTCCTTCATCATCCGCGTGTAGTTTGCCGTCCGCAGCGTCGAGCGAGCGAGCAGCCAAGATTCGAATCAAAAGACGCAGCAAGTCTACGTCTGTCTTGGTCTTGGCTGCTGTCAAGTCCACCTCTTCCAATGCCTCGCATTCTTTCTCGTGTACGTCTTGTAGAGCTCCTCGACATTTTTCACTGCAGAAAAAAACCGTAGAGCAATCGTCACAGCAAATATCAGCGGCAGCAGTGTGTAGACATACGGCACAAAGAGCTGCACGGTTTGTCGATAGAACGACGTTACCGTACGCACGTTCACGAAGTACACATTGTCCCGTCTTCACATCACGAGTTGCTCGGAGCAGACGGCCCCGTTTTGGATCGTAATCTACACGCCACAGAAAGTGCTCCGACATAATGAGTTTACAATGAGTATAATGACATACAGATGAAGAAATGATGGCAGCCAGTAAATTCTAGTGCAAATCCTTTTTCCTGTTGTCATTATTACGCCACTATTTCGAATGTCAAGTTTTTTTTATGCAATTAAAAATAATAATTTTGATTAAAAATATTGTAAGTGAGTATTTTGATCAGGTATGACCTTATATTTTGTCGCTACCCAATTTATAAAAACAAAATGGAAGCTGTTGCCAATATTCGCGAGTGATAAAATAGAAATTGTTTATATGACAGCAGAATGTATCAAATTAAGGATTGACCAGAATACAAACACTAAATGACACTAAAACCTTTCTTAAGTTCGCACATACCTAAAGAACAAGCACGACCATGTTCAAGAGGCTGTCGGAACGCTTTCCCACCGCAGCCACGCGACTAGAGGCCTATACTGGCGTTATCACTCACGACGTCAATGCTACTTCACCTTCACTGGAGTCATCCACCGCTACTTCGCCGTCTTTCGATCAAGAATCAGACGCAACAACGGCTCAGAGTCCACCGCCACCTCCGACTCTTTTCGGCGAGGAAGACAAGAGTGATGATCATCCAGCCACAACCCTAACGACCACTTTGAGTGAGCACTTTACCTCTGAGTCTGTATCAGCTGCAGCCGCTAGTATGATGGGATTTATGAAGAAGGCGCAGGTCGTGGCAGCTACAGCAGCCAAAGAGGGCGCCGTAAAGGCCCGTAAAGCTCTTGATGCTGCAGATATGGACGCTCTGCAGCGCCGACTGAGTTATGCACTGGACCGTACAACGGGTGATGTGAATCTGGAGCTGCTCAACTTTTCGTACATAACCGAGAACATTGTAGCCATGGGCTTTCCTAACATGAACTTAGGCACGAACCGCACGCTGCTTAAGGACAACCCGATTGACTTGGTGGCAATGTACCTCAATGGAAAACATAGTGGTCATTATATGATCTGGAACTTAAGTGAAGAGACATATGACTGCACGTACTTTGACAATCAAGTACTCGAGTTTAATTTTCCAGGACACCCAGCACCACCACTTGGTTTAGTGTTTAAGATCTGCTCGTCAATTGAGAATTGGCTCCAGGCTGATGACAAGAACTTGGCTGCAATTCATTGTCTAACGGGAAAAGGAAGAACGGGGACTGTGATTGCCTGCTACTTGGCATGGGTGGGCCAATTCTCCAATGCCATGGAAAGCTTGGAGTATGTTGCTGAGCAGCGACAGACGTCAGTGGAAAAGCTCACTATTCCGTCGCAACGCAGGTACGTGTGGAAGCAGAGTGCTATGGTATATGTGTTTTTTGTTGTTGCATCTTCTAATGGAACGCTGTCTTGTTGATTTTGTTTAGATACATACAGTACTTTAACAACGTAATGGAAGGCGTGAAGCCGCGATCGTCGCCGTTGCTGCTACGCCGTATTATCATCAACACTATTCCTGTGTTTGGAGAACGACGCGTGTTGGAGCAGGCAAAGGACACGTCCACGGACGACGGATTAGAAACGGTTGAAGTAGAAGGCGAAGCTCTAACATCGCTAGCTGCTGTTGCTGGAGTTGAAGAAAAGGCAAACGATGACGAATTGGTTGAAACAATTGAAAAGGGTTGCTGCCCATATCTGCAGATTTTCAAGGGCGGAAAGCTTGTCTTTACAACGACGTGGAGTGACATGGAGGACGGTCAAGGAATTCAGTGGGCTAGTACAGGTGATGGTTCAGTGTCCTTTAATGTGAACTGTATGCTACAGGGGGATATTTTGATTCGCTGTCGCCATCTAACGGATGCTGGAGAGCGCATATCGATGTTCCGTGGCGCATTTCACACCGGCTACATTCCGCAGGGCATTCTGAGGTAGAACATCTTGTGCAAGTGTATTACTATGGTACTTGATGTCTGATTGAATGTGTTGATGATGTTAGATTGACCAAGGCACAATTGGATGGTGCTTGCAGTGACTCCCGCTTCGATCAGGACTTCTTTGTTGACTTGATTTTTGCAGATGTTGATGCTGAAGGAAAATCTGCAACGGCAGACACGGACGGTAAGAAGTGTACCCGATTGTTGTTAAGATTTGCCATTCATCACTCACACTCTGCCGTTATTGCAGTTGGTGAACCCGTCAACACACCTAAGAGTGAAGGTGTTTCGTTAAATGAGGAAGACCGCCAAGCGTATGAGGACATGCTTCATCGTGATGAGACCTTTTGGCAAGATATTGAAGATCGAAAGACGCGACTTCAAAAGCTACGCAAAGAGCAGTTTAGAAAGAAACAGGCGGAGGCAGAGGCGAAGGCCGCCGAGGCTGAAGCAAAGGCGAAGGCTAGGGCTGAGACCGAGACAGCGAAAAAGGAGCAGGTCGCACAAAAGCAAAAATCATTCAGCATTAATGGCACAGATGATTACACTGTCTCGAAGGAGAAGACTACTCGCAAAGGTAGTTGGAGTGAGGAAAAGGACAAGGAACTCATGAGCGAGCTCGAGTCTCTAACTGGTGGGGCTTTGACTAAGGCTGTCACAGACGTTGACGGAGCCAATCTGGAAGAAAAGGCTGTCTATGCAGCAAAAGCTACGAGCGATATGGATGATTCTAATGGTTTGTCGGAGGAGTTTGATGAGTTGAAGACTCTGGAGAAAGAGCTGGGTCTGCAATCGCTCTCTGGTGATTTGGCGAGCCTTTCCGATGGCAAGATCGACCCTCAACTCGAGCTGTTGGATGCTGAGCTTGAGGGTATCGAGGGATTGTCACCGAAGGCCGATGACTGTACCGACGACGTTATGAATTTCGAAGCAGACGATTTTGAGGAGCTGGAAGAGTATTTGAGTGGCCTAACGACCAAGTGAGAGTTGCATTTCGTACTTCTCGCTGTCAGCTGTTTTTGCATGGAAACGCTGTTGTCAAGGCGTGCCTGTCAAGCTTAGAGCTTACTAAAGTCCCGCTGCGGCGGGTATAATATATCAGTCTTGAGTGGAAAGGTCTACGGGTCATTGCTGTTATCATCGGCCCAGTGTATCGAAGCAGAGTGTGGCTGTAATGAGGCCTACGCAAAACACTTCCGTGATGGTGTACTCGTTGGCCCCATTCAAAATGGAAGCTTCATCACTGCACTCTATGTAGTGCATATCATGCACGTAAAGATGACAGGATCAGGTTGTGATGGCTTGTCACTCTAGAGAATTACCTGGCTATGAAAAGACTTTCCTAGTCAACATGTCCCGGGCGAATGACAGTCTTACCTCATTCAGCATCACCTTGGCCCCGTCAAGACGCAATCCACTCAAGCGTATGCATCTCAAAGTCTCCAGTGTTACAAGAAGTAACAGCATTAGAAGTCTTCTACTTGACTAGCAGTAACCACCCTCACACACCCTCACATTTCACTAGCAGCCCACAACAAACAACCGCGACTAATGACGCCAAAAAAGACCTTTTCTTTCCAATGTCAAACGTCGTCCCTCTAGTCTCTTATTCCTTGATCTCGCCACAGTCCTCAATGATGACCTCAGTGCTAGTAGCGCCCGACTGACTGCCCTGCTCCTCCATGATCTTAAGCACGTCATGTCCCTCCGTCACTTGTCCGAATACAACGTGGGCCTGATCCAGCCAAGGGCAGTCAACAGTTGTCAGAAAGAATTGCGAGCCGTTCGTATTGGGACCGGAGTTGGCCATGGACAGGATACCCACTCCCTCGTGCTTGAGTGCGAACTTCTCGTCCTCAAACTTGGGACCGTAGATGGATTCACCACCCGTGCCGTTGCCGCGAGTAAAGTCGCCACCTTGGCACATGAAGTTGGGAATGATGCGGTGAAACTTGCTGCCCTTGTAGTGCAGTGGCTTTCCCGACTGTCCTACGCCCGCCTCGCCTGTGCACAACTGACGAAAGTTTTCGGCCGTCTTGGGCACTACGTCGGCACGCAGCTCAAACACCAAGCGCCCGCTCGACTCGCCGCCGATCGAAATGTCAAAGAAAACGTTTGGATTCTGCTCACGCGCAGAACTAAACATTGCCACCGAAAGAGGCGACAGCTGCTTGTGCGCCACGAAAAGCGCAGGTCGGGACAATAACTTTCTCAACATGGTTGATACACTAAGGGAGGAGGATATTGGTAGATAGATGTATGTATGGCTTTGGACACAGTTTGATTGATATTATACAATTTAAAAGTATATCTGTGAGCAGTATACAAATGCCAAGTCATAGGTGCGAAATACTGCACATGAGGATCCAGTCGTTGGGCCAACTCGATCATGTTAACGGCAGTAAACACATTCAAGAGGTTTCTCGTGTCCAAGGCCGTCACAATCGAAGGGCTCAACACATATAGATTTAGTGATCCGTCTGTCTGGTGCGTACTTCGTCGCTGTAAAGGATAAGTTCGCCATGAACCGTGCCTTCAGATAATGGAGACTTCCTCGCGAAGAACTGTGGTTTCCTATTACAAAAAACGAAGATGTAGCTGCTCGGGTTCTTTTCTTCGCAAAGAACAATCAAGGACGACAGGGGGGCTACTTGAGATGGTGCACACGCTGGAGAACTATCGCCTGACAAGCGTGAGGGAGGGGGGATATCACAAAGAAAGCTGCATCGTGTACGAAACATGGTATTCTATTACATATGGAGCACCTACACAACTGCCACGAGTACAACGTACTACCAGGACGCTGCACTTGTGTGCCTAATGTGGCATGTCTTCAGTCGCGCATCGACTTTGTCGCTTGTCCTCAAGCAAGGCTTGTCTGTCAGCACCAACAAACGTATTCTTTCTTTGGCTGATCAGCGTTGAGACGTCTGAGGAACAAGATCTTTCCCTGACCCCGACTGAAAGACATTAGAAACGTGTATAATTCACGCCATCTGTAGACGGGCACTTCTACGAAGTTGCCTCGTACTACTAGCACACACCTTATGCACAAGCGAGGAAGCGGTTAGACCGTCTTACCTTCGCGTGCGAGGGTGGTTAGGAGGTTTATCGACTGCTTAAGCAGTCGTACCACCAGTTGCCTCTCGCTTAAGCGAGAGTGCAACGAGGAACTAACAAGCTTCCTACTTACGTCACGCAGAGGCTTTCTCAGCTTCTCGTGCGCGGTGCTTTCGATTTAGCAAATTCAAGACTGAGCTATATTTAATGAATTATAATAAAATATAAACTTAGCTACTGACTGGCCGTTATATATATAGATCGGATACGCGACTCTTTAGAAGCGTATCCTGTCGCATGATCTTAAATCTAGAGCTAAGCTTGCTAATGACGTCCTTCTGAGACGTCGCGATGCCTAGCTTCAACTAGCGTCATCCCTCCCCATGTGAATCCATCAATGGATATCACATTCACGAGGGTGGATCACATTTGTGTGTCGCATTCAAGTGACTGGTCAAAAGTAATCATGGATACTTTTAGACCAAACATTAAGTATATTACTTAATGTTTACGTGTAACTAGGTACCCTGTTACACCATCCCCCGTTTTAGAACGATGTTACATTTTATAAAACATCGCCTAAGAGACAGAGAGACTGGCGAGCCGTTTATAAACGCGCCGCTTTAGTCTGCTCAGTACTCATGCCACCGAAACGTGGTAAGGCTGATGGGTCGCCTGCAAAGGCACCCATGCAGTCCAGCAATAAGCGCACGCGCCGCGATTTATCGCAGCCGTCGCAAAGTGCGTCAGGCACTGGGATGGATCTTCCATCTCACGATAATGTGGATGAAGATCCATCTCTCATTGTTGACTACAATGAGACCACACCACTGCCATCACCCCAAAGTGGCGATGAGCATAGTGCATTGATGGGACATATGTCCCCATCATTTGAGGCACCCGTCCTTGAGGAAGCATCTATGCTTCCTACAAGCGAAGGTAACGCCTCGTCGTCTGCGCCTACGAACGCAGCGACTAAGACTGAGCACGCTACTTCGAAAGGAGTAGTCGCGACTCAGTCAGATGTAACTCCTCAAGCTGATGTCTTGACAATCCATAATGGAGAGTCAGACTCAGCTGAGTGTGAGCTTAAAGCTCCACCAAGTACACCGTCGGCCTCACTAGCCCGCCGTCGCGAGGGCGGCTACGTGAGTGGTGGCTTGCCACCAATGCCACCTCCATCTGAGTGGATGAACTCGGATGGGTCTAGTGCAGCGCTTTTGCAGCGTGCCACTATAGACGCTCATAAATTCTATAGCGTCTTTCCTTTGTGGAAAAAGCAGGGCAAAGCACTTGGTCGTGCTTTCCCAATTCCAGTCGTGCTGCGTTTTAACGAAACAGCCGACGAATATGAAGCCGAACTTCGGCGCCGTGTTACCTTGCATGTAGATGCAACGAAACAACGGTCGCAACGAATCAGCTTCGCCATGAAGCGTGCGCATGAAATTTTGGGTGGTAAGCGACCCCAATTAATTCTCGCCACGCTTCTTCTGCTAGTCCATCCGGACCTAGCAGAAAGACGACACCTGGTGCTGCTTCACATAAGCAGCCACCAGCCCAGGCACGTCAACGCGCAAAGCGTCCACAGGCTCCCACGAGTCAAAGCTCGTTGGGTAACCCTTCCACTGGACAAGGATTTGGAGCTTTCGCTTCACAAACCGGTGGGCCAACAGCCTTCCAACAAGGAAGCGCGTATTCCCATCCGTGTCCACCAACACAGGTGGCGCCCGATAGGAGTGGCGATTACGCCCACCTACTCCCGGCTGCCTACCCTGCTGCTGTTCAGTCGTAGGCTGAGTCTGCTGCGCTGAAGAGACAGGTGACAGATCTCGAGAGTCAAGTCTCGCGACTGACTTTGGATCTGCGCGATGTGAGGACGAGGGACCGTCAGGGGTATGACCGCCTGAAGACCCGTTTGGACATCTTAGAGCGACTGGTGATGAGAGACCCGCGTCAAGCGCGGAGTCCTCCTCGATCACCGAGTCCTCTATCGCCTCGTTCATACACGGGGAGCCTCTCGGCTTCCTCGTCGCCTGATCGGTCGCGACGCTCGACTCACAGTTGACGTCACCATCGGTCTCGTTAGACCGATGCGGATATGTGATCTCTTCTGGATCAACATACCGTTTCAGACGACCCACGTAAAATACGGGGTGCGTCTTCATATACGGTGGGAGAGTGAGCCTATAATTTAGGTCTCCAACTTCTTCAACCACTGTGAAGGGTCTAATGAATCGGGGCAATAGCTTAGTAGTACCACCAGGTAGTACAGAAATTGCATGTTTAGTTAGGGTAGCAGTACTTAATAGCACTTTGTCCCCCACACTAAAGTGTTCATTGTTTTTGCGACCATTCTGGTCTGCATATTGTTTTTGCTTGTCCTGTGCTTTTGCCATCGCGTCACGGACTTTACGTGTGATGACTAATCGATCATCCACAAAGCGCTGAGTTTCGCTCACGCTTTTAGCATCCAGCTCGCCTATGACGCCTCCAAGAGGTCGTTCATGGGTCGACGTTGTTGATAACACTATAGTGTCATCGTCAAGGAGCACTGACATTTCTTGTCGATGCCCCTCTGTGACACCTATAGGTGTCGTGACCACTGCTAAATTAGCAGTGTCACTAGGGCAACCTTGGCCCACTTTGGCATTCGCACCGAGCGAAGTGAGGGACCCTCCCCCACTAAGACTCGGGCTGCGTACAAACGAGACTGGCGTTAGAGGATGACGCAGTCCGTTTATGTAAAAGGTGTTTCACCCGTACTGGCTTGAACACTGTTGTTAATAGCGAACTCCACGAATGGAAATTGCTTGCTCCATTCTTTAGGAGTCGCTACGGTACGCAACACATCCGCCACGACTCGATTGGCCCGTTCTGTTTGGCCATCGGTCTGGGGATGATCAGCGGTTGACATGTGGAGCTTGCTTCCCAGCAGCTCAAACACATGTCGCCAAAAACCCGACGTAAAACGCGGATACCGATCCGATACTATGGACTCGGGCATCCCGTGCAGTCGATACATGTGATCCAGAAACAAGAGGGCATCCTCTTTTCCTGAGATCTTGGTTATACATGGTGCCAAATGCACCATCTTGCTCAGTCTGTCTACAAAGACGACGAGCCCCGTCCTGCCTTTATGGTCAGGCGGTAAGCCAAACATGAAGTCCAAACTGACCGACTTCCAACAATCCGTTGGAATCGGCAGTGGCTCCAGTGGCGCACTGTTTGAAGGTGCAGGCTTTATGCGCTGACACTCTTCACAATAGCGAATATAGTTGGCCACCCACCGATATAGGTGGGCCACCAAAATTGCTCTGACACTCGTAAGAATGTCTTCTCACGGCCCATATGCCCACTAGATGGCGCATCATGGCACTCGTAAAGTAGCATCAGCTTGAAATCTGTGTCATGAGGGACATAGATTCTCAAGGGATCACAGGGTGACAGTTGATGCCATAACAGGCCATAACTGTAACTAAAGCGATTTAGTTTCGCTTTGAGGTTCGACGGAATGGTAACTTTTCGTCCACCAAAATGATCCAACAGCAGGCGACAATGTTCGTCTTGCCTGTAACGCTCCTTGATATCGGAGGCCATTGAGCTCGTCACATGGTAGGCCTTCATGGCTGCCAATGTTGACGACTCAACTTGTGCTTTCGCACGAGACACACTATCCTGGTGTCTTGTCTCGAAGTCTGGTCTGCGCAATAACGCATCAGCCAAGACATTCGACTTACCTAACTTATATTCAACTTTTAAATTAAATTCAGAGAAGAATGTTAGCCATGTCGACATTCTCGGCGAGAGGTGCGGTGAATTTATAGCGGTCCGCAGTGATGCGTGATCCGTATAAACCACAAAAGGTTCGGTGCCCAAGAGGTGCACCCAAAACTTCACAAGGGCATACTTAATTGAAAGTAGCTCCTTGTCATGCACAGGGTAATTCAGCTCGGCAGCTTTTAAAAGCCGAGACTGATAAGAAATGACACGGTCAACGCCGTCGTCATCCTTCTGGATGAGCGCGCTGCCGATTCCAAAATTGCTTGCATCGCAGACGACGCTAAAGGGCTTATCCGCGTCTGGCAATGCCAAGACCGGTGCCTCTACAAGAGATTGCTTCACTGATGTGAAAGCATCTTTTTGTTCCTTTGACCAAAT